TCCCTAACCTCCCTAACCTCCCTAACCTCCCTAACCTCCCTAACCTCCCTAACCTCCCTCCCTAACCTCCCTAACCTCCCTAACCTCCCTAACCTCCCTAACCTCCCTAACCTCCCTAACCTCCCTAACCTCCCTCCCTAACCTCCCTAACCTCCCTAACCTCCCTAACCTCCCTAACCTCCCTAACCTCCCTAACCTCCCTAACCTCCCTAACCTCCCTAACCTCCCTAACCTCCCTAACCTCCCTAACCTCCCTAACCTCCCTCACCTCCCTAACCTCCCTAACCTCCCTAACCTCCCTCCCTAACCTCCCTACCTCCCTAACCTCCCTAACCTCCCTAACCTCCCTACCTCCTACCTCCCTAACCTCCTAACCTCCCTAACCTCCCTCCCTCCTAACCTCCCTAACCTCCCTAACCTCCTAACCTCCCTAACCTCCCTAACCTCCTAACCTCCTAACCTCCCTAACCTCCCTCCCTAACCTCCCTCCCTCCCTAACCTCCCTAACCTCCCTAACCTCCCTAACCTCCCTCACCTCCCTAACCTCCCTAACCTCCCTAACCTCCCTCCCTAACCTCCCTAACCTCCCTAACCTCCCTAACCTCCCTCCCTAACCTCCCTAACCTCCCTAACCTCCCTAACCTCCCTAACCTCCCTAACCTCCCTAACCTCCTAACCTCCCTAACCTCCCTAACCTCCCTCCCTCCCTCCCTCACCTCCCTCCCTCCCTAACCTCCCTCCCTCCCTAACCTCCCTAACCTCCCTAACCTCCCTAACCTCCCTACCTCCCTCCCTAACCTCCCTAACCTCCCTAACCTCCCTACCTCCCTACCTAACCTCCCTCCCTAACCTCCCTAACCTCCCTAACCTCCCTAACCTCCCTAACCTCCCTAACCTCCCTAACCTCCCTAACCTCCCTAACCTCCCTACCCTAACCTCCCTAACCTCCCTAACCTCCCTAACCTCCCTAACCTCCCTAACCTCCCTACCCCTAACCTCCCTAACCCTCCCTAACCTCCCTAACCTCCCTAACCTCCCTAACCTCCCTAACCTCCCTAACCTCCCTAACCTCCCTCCCTAACCTCCCTCCCTCCCTCCCTCACCTCCCTCCCTCCCTAACCTCCCTCCCTCCCTAACCTCCCTCCCTCACCTCCCTCCCTCCCTAACCTCCTCCCTCCCTCCCTCACCTCCCTCCCTCCCTAACCTCCCTCCCTCCCTCCCTCACCTCCCTCCCTCCCTAACCTCCCTCCCTCCCTCACCTCCCTCACCTCCCTAACCTCCCTCCCTCCCTAACCTCCCTCCCTAACCTCCCTCCCTCCCTCCCTCACCTCCCTCCCTCCCTAACCTCCCTCCCTAACCTTCCTCCCTAACCTCCCTCCCTCCCTAACCTCCCTCCCTAACCTCCCTCCCTCCCTCCCTCACCTCCCTCCCTCCCTAACCTCCCTCCCTCCCTAACCTCCCTCCCTAACCTCCCTCCCTAACCTTCCTCCCTAACCTCCCTCCCTCCCTAACCTCCCTCCCTAACCTCCCTCCCTCCCTCCCTCACCTCCCTCCCTCCCTAACCTCCCTCCCTCCCTAACCTCCCTCCCTAACCTTCCTCCCTAACCTCCCTCCCTCCCTCACCTCCCTCCCTAACCTCCCTCCCCTCCCTAACCTTCCTCCCTAACCTCCCTCCCTTACCTCCCTCCCTAACCTCCCTCCCTCCCTAACCTCCCTCCCTCCCTTACCTCCCTCCCTCCCTCACCTCCCTCCCTAACCTCCCTCTCTTACCTCCCTCCCTAACCTCCCTCCCTCCCTTACCTCCCTCCCTCCCTCCCTTACCTCCCTCCCTCCCTCACCTCCCTCCCTCCCTCCCTCACCTCCCACCCTTACCTCCCTCCCTCCCTCACCTCCCTCACCTCCCTCCCTGACCTCCCTCCCTCCCTCCCTTGCTCTCAGTGTACTCTTGCCCGCTTGTAAAGGTCACACCTCCTGCTGCTGTATAACCGCTGTCACAGCCTCCACACTCATTAACCCGGCGGCGGCGGCGGCACCGACGGAACAGATGTCATCTCAGGAGAGAGAACGCTTGGGAGGTGTGGCAAACCACAGAGAAATACCAAATCTCTGTGGCCCTAGATTTAACCGATAACATGTCACTTTTCTTGTTCACCAGTTAAGGCCCTCTTAAGCTATGTAACTCTTTTTCAGAAGCGACCTGGCAGTCCCAAACAATATCCCAACGAAGTGGCTTATCATCATCCTCATCATCACGTGGAAACTGACAGCAGCCAAATACTCTAAACGCGTGATTCTAAATGTGAAAGGAAAAACGGGAGGGCCCGGAGAAAAATCCACGCGACCACGGGGAGAGAGACACCGCAAACGCCAAATGTACAGGCGTCAGGGTTGGGATCGAACCCAAGACCTTCTGTACACCAGGCGAGGTGGTTACCATTTCGCGTTCCGAGTATTTGGCTGCTGCTATAAATGTCCACACGATGATAAGCCACTTCGTTGAGCTAACATTTGTGGCCAGGTCGCTTCTAAAAAAGAGCAATATAGCCCAGTGGGGCCTTAGCTGGTAAAATAAAAAGTTTCAGTTTATTTTAGTGAACAGCGTTTTTAAACGCTGCCCGCGATCGTCTCATCTCTCTGCTCCACAACGCGCTCGCTACAACGCCGGCTCGCGACGGCAAGAAGCGTCGCTCGGGCAATACATCGACTCAAGCGCAAGCTGGCCTTCGCAGCGTGGCTTGATCGTTTTTGTGTTGTTTGCCCCCCCCCACCCCGCACCTCCGATTAGCACGGTTGGCTATGCACGTACGTTGCAGAAGTTCAGCATACACACGTGCATACGAGGCTTGATGTTCGCCAAGTGTCAAGGTGTTTTGTTAAATGTGATAAATAAGCCGATGCTGTTTGGGTAAATTGAGCAATTTCTACTCGTCTACTTTTTTGTTCCTAAAAAAACGAGTTTTTATCATTCGCGTGAAGTTTGTTATTTTGTTTGTGATTATTACAGCCGTCATCATCGGCCCTGATCTATCCACTGCTGGATGAGGTCTCCCCCCCCCACCCCCCACCCCACCCCCTCTCACAATCCTGCAACGTAACAATCCGGCCTCCCACTTTCCTTGACGCCTCGCGTTTTATAAAAAAATATTTTTTTAGCCTACCTACCTAACGAACCTAAGCAAATTTTGAAAGTTAATTTGTGATTATATTGTGAACCTCTCCTTAACAACAACAAACGGGGAGGCGGGAATAAGCACAAAGGACGCTCATCGCAACCTCCGCCGTGGCCTCTGCGAGGAACAACAGAAAGCAACGTTCATTGGGGTCACCGCAACCGCAGGCCAAGGCCACCGCCCAAAGCCGCCAATTTAGCACCCGGGCAGATCAAGCAGCAACGCACGTGCAGAGCCAGCCGCACGGCGGAACAAAACACGATTCGGAGACAAACCTTGAGAAAACCTCAACACAGACGCCCAGATTCGCTTTCCGACGAGGCAAATCCGTTTTGGTGGCGGGGAGGGAGGGGAGGTGAGGGTGGGAGGCGAGGTGAGGGGAGAGAGGGGAGGGAGGCGAGGTGAGGGTGGAAGCGAAGCGAGGGAGGGAGGGAGGTGAGGGGCGGGAGGGAGGGGAGGGGCGGGAGGGAGGGGAGGTGAGGGGAGGGAGGCGAGGGGAGGGAGGTGAGGGGAGGGAGGGGAGGGAGGGAGATAGGCGAGGTGAGGTGAGGGAGGGGAGGCGAGGGGAGGGAGGGAGGCGAGGGAGGGGAGGGAGGGAGGGGAGGGGAGGGAGGCGAGGGGAGGTGAGGGAGGGGAGGGAGGTGAGGTGAGGGAGGGGAGGTGAGGTGAGGGTGGGAGCGAAGCGAGGGAGGCGAGGGGAGGGAGGGGAGGGCGGGAGGGAGGGGCGGGAGGTGAGGGGCGGGAGGGAGGCGAGGGGAGGGAGGCAAGGGGAGGGAGGCAAGGGGAGGGAGGGGAGGGAGGGGAGGGAGGGGTGGCGAGGGGAGGGAGGCAAGGGGAGGGAGGGGAGGGAGGGAGGGGAGGGGAGGGGAGGGAGGGGAGGGAGGGAGGGGAGGCGAGGGGAGGGAGGTGAGGGATGTCACATGTCGAGCGGCCGCGCTGCGTTACCTGCTCTCGAGCTGCATTCTAGTTTTTACGAGCCAGATTGGGTTCGTGGCGCTGATAGCGGTGAACCCTGCCGAGAGGGGGGAGGGCGGCAACCACCGGTGTGGGTGAAGCGAAGACGAGCGCTCGGCGAGTCGAACCGAAGCGACCGTGCGGCGGATCGCGAGCGCGGCCACGACTCCCCGTGGTGAGATGTTTACTACCTCGCCTGGTATACAGGAGGTCGTGGGTTCGATCCCGACCCTGACGCCTGCTGCTGTATATTTGGAGTTTGCGTGTCTCTCTCTCCCCATGGTGAGATGTTAACTACCTCGCCTGGTATACAGGAGGTCGTGGGTTCGATCCCGACCCTGACGCCTGCTGCTGTATATTTGGAGTTTGCGTGTCTCTCTCTCTCTCCCTGTGGTCGCGTGGATTTTTCTCCGGGTCCTCCGGTTTTTCCCCTCCACATTTGACTGCTATGCATTTCCACGTGACGATGACAAGCCACTTGGTTGAGCTGCCAATTGCGGCCAAAACGCTTCTGAAAAAGAGCTACACAGCTCACGTGTGGCCTTACCTGGTAATAGACAAAAAGTTAATAAAGTTTATTGAATGCCTGAAAATTCGTCCTTGTGAACCGGTGACACTCTCAACCCCTCCGGTGTGACGGCGGCCCCCCAGCAAACACCACCGGCCCCCCCCCCCCCACCCCCACGCTGCCACCACCCACCCCTCGTGATGTCAAGGCCACGATACACGGTAGGTCGCAGCAGTGTTGCGCCATTGTACGTACGGCACGGCACGGTTACAGCACGGTAGAGTACAGCATGGTGCTGCATGGTACAGCATGGTGCTGCATGGTACAGCGGGTGCTGCATGTAACGACACGGGGCGGCATCGTACGGTATGGTACAGCACGGCATGCTAGAGCAGGTACAAACATGCTACGACACGGTCAAGCACAAAACAGCATGGCACAGCGTAGTACTACAAGGTACAGCAGGTACAGCATGGTATGGTACATGGTTACAACATGGTTACAGCATGGTACTAGACAGCATGCTAAAGCATGATGCTGCACGGTAGAACTGGTAGAGCATGGCTTTGCAGGGTACGGTACAGCATGGTACTGTGGGGTACAGCATGGCACAGCAAATACAGCATGGTTCAATACAGTATGCTACATCCAGGCACTGCGCGGTACAGCAGGCACGGCATGGTACAGCAGGCACGGCACGCTGCGACAGAGAAAGGCAGAGGCTCGCGGCTCGTACCGGCCGTGGCAGCGGAGCACATGTGCACTGGCGGAGACTCGGCCTGGAAGACGGAGTTGTAGTGCTCCTTGGCGGAGGAGTAGGCCGCAAAGTAGATGGCGCTGGGGGGAGAGGGGGGGGGAGAGAGCAGCAGCAGCGAGCGGGGGAACTTTCAAGGGTTGTTTTTGCGCTTCGCAGCGAAGGTTTCGCGCGATACGAACGGCACGTCGGTGAAGGGTCGCGCTGCATTTCGGGGAAGGCCCAACGCTCGGGGAGGAAACCACGACGCTCAAAGGAATTCACGAAACCGGCGGTGTGTAAAAGAGTCCTGGGACTCGGATGTGGCTTTCCTGGATAAATAATTAATCATAGGCATGGGTGTGCGCGTGTGTGTGTGCGTGCGAGCGAAGACACTGTGTGTGGGGAGCGGTAGTGCAGTGGTTAGCGCAGTGCGCTAAGAGTATTTGGCTGCTATCAATGTCCACGTGACGACAAGCAACTTCGCTGAGTTGGTAAAATAGAAACAGTTTAGTTTTAGAACCTAGCGAATTCAAATTTGATTTACGCTCACGGCTAACATTGACAAAGGACATCTGAACTCATTATGGGAATCCCCTAGGTTGACTCCACCTTAAACGTGGGCCCGGGCGTGGTGTCAGCCACACCACCCCCCCCCCCAGACCCCCGTGCATCCAAGCGTCCTTCACATGTGCTCGCTAAACGGCACCTGCCCCAACAGTCTGTTCAAGGGCTATACAGGGGTGATCTTTGCCTGTGTGCAGGCACCGTGGTCACAAGCTTGTGGTGTACTGCAGAACAGGAGCACAGCTTGTGGTGTACTGCAGAGCAGCAGTACAGCTTGTGGTGTACTGCAGAGCAGCAGTACAGCTTGTGGTGTACTGCAGAGCAGCAGTACAGCTTGTGGTGTACTGCAGAGCAGCAGTACAGCTTGTGGTGTACTGCAGAGCAGGAGTACAGCTTGTGGTGTACTGCAGAGCAGGAGTACAGCTTGTGGTGTACTGCAGAGCAGCGCAGCATAGCTGTGTGTACTGCAGAGCAGGAGTACAGCTTGTGGTGTACTGCAGAGCAGGAGTACAGCTTGTGGTGTACTGCAGAGCAGCAGCACAGCTTGTGGTGTACTGCAGAGCAGGAGCACAGCTTGTGGTGTACTGCAGAGCAGCAGTACAGCTTGTGGTGTACTGCAGAGCAGCAGTACAGCTTGTGGTGTACTGCAGAGCAGGAGTACAGCTTGTAGTGTACTGCAGAGCAGCAGCACAGCTTGTGGTGTACTGCAGAGCAGGAGTACAGCTTGTGGTGTACTGCAGAGCAGGAGTACAGCTTGTGGTGTACTGCAGAGCAGCAGCACAGCTTGTGGTGTACTGCAGAGCAGGAGTACAGCTTGTGGTGTACTGCAGAGCAGCAGTACAGCTTGTGGTGTACTGCAGAGCAGGAGTACAGCTTGTGGTGTACTGCAGAGCAGGAGCACAGCTTGTGGTGTACTGCAGAGCAGCAGTACAGCTTGTAGTGTACTGCAGAGTAGGAGCACAGCTTGTGGTGTACTGCAGAGTAGGAGTACAGCTTGTGGTGTACTGCAGAGCAGGAGTACAGCTTATAGTGTACTGCAGAGCAGCAGCACAGCTTGTGGTGTACTGCAGAGCAGCAGTACAGCTTGTAGTGTACTGCAGAGCAGGAGTACAGCTTGTAGTGTACTGCAGAGCAGGAGCACAGCTTGTGGTGTACTGCAGAGTAGCAGTACAGCTTGTGGTGTACTGCAGAGCAGGAGTACAGCTTGTAGTGTACTGCAGAACAGCAGTACAGCTTGTGGTGTACTGCAGAACAGCAGCACAGCTTGTGGTGTACTGCAGAACAGCAGCACAGCTTGTAGTGTACTGCAGAGCAGGAGTACAGCTTGTGGTGTACTGCAGAGTAGGAGCACAGCTTGTGGTGTACTGCAGAGCAGGAGTACAGCTTGTGGTGTACTGCAGAGTAGGAGTACAGCTTGTGGTGTACTGCAGAGCAGGAGCACAGCTTGTAGTGTACTGCAGAGCAGCAGTACAGCTTGTGGTGTACTGCAGAGTAGCAGTACAGCTTGTGGTGTACTGCAGAGCAGCAGTACAGCTTGTGGTGTACTGCAGAGTAGGAGTACAGCTTGTGGTGTACTGCAGAGCAGCAGTACAGCTTGTGGTGTACTGCAGAGTAGCAGTACAGCTTGTGGTGTACTGCAGAGCAGCAGTACAGCTTGTGGTGTACTGCAGAGCAGGAGTACAGCTTGTGGTGTACTGCAGAGCAGCAGTACAGCTTGTGGTGTACTGCAGAGTAGCAGTACAGCTTGTGGTGTACTGCAGAGCAGGAGCACAGCTTGTGGTGTACTGCAGAGCAGCAGTACAGCTTGTGGTGTACTGCAGAGTAGCAGTACAGCTTGTGGTGTACTGCAGAGCAGCAGTACAGCTTGTGGTGTACTGCAGAGTAGGAGTACAGCTTGTAGTGTACTGCAGAGTAGGAGTACAGCTTGTGGTGTACTGCAGAGCAGCAGTACAGCTTGTGGTGTACTGCAGAGTAGCAGTACAGCTTGTGGTGTACTGCAGAGCAGCAGTACAGCTTGTGGTGTACTGCAGAGCAGGAGTACAGCTGGTGGTGTACTGCAGAACAGGAGCACAGCTTGTGGTGTACTGCAGAGTAGGAGCACAGCTTGTGGTGTACTGCAGAACAGGAGCACAGCTTGTGGTGTACTGCAGAGTAGGAGTACAGCTTGTGGTGTACTGCAGAACAGGAGCACAGCTTGTGGTGTACTGCAGAGCAGGAGCACAGCTTGTGGTGTACTGCAGAACAGGAGTACAGCTTGTGGTGTACTGCAGAGTAGGAGCACAGCTTGTGGTGTACTGCAGAACAGGAGCACAGCTTGTGGTGTACTGCAGAGTAGGAGTACAGCTTGTGGTGTACTGCAGAGTAGGAGCACAGCTTGTGGTGTACTGCAGAACAGGAGCACAGCTTGTGGTGTACTGCAGAGTAGGAGTACAGCTTGTGGTGTACTGCAGAACAGGAGCACAGCTTGTGGTGTACTGCAGAGCAGGAGCACAGCTTGTGGTGTACTGCAGAACAGGAGCACAGCTTGTGGTGTACTGCAGAGTAGGAGCACAGCTTGTGGTGTACTGCAGAGCAGCAGTACAGCTTGTAGTGTACTGCAGAGCAGGAGCACAGCTTGTGGTGTACTGCAGAGCAGGAGTACAGCTTGTGGTGTACTGCAGAGCAGCAGTACAGCTTGTAGTGTACTGCAGAGTAGGAGCACAGCTTGTGGTGTACTGCAGAGCAGGAGTACAGCTTGTGGTGTACTGCAGAGCAGCAGTACAGCTTGTAGTGTACTGCAGAGCAGCAGTACAGCTTGTAGTGTACTGCATAGCAGGAGCACAGCTTGTGGTGTACTGCAGAGCAGCAGTACAGCTTGTAGTGTACTGCAGAGCAGGAGCACAGCTTGTGGTGTACTGCAGAGTAGGAGCACAGCTTGTGGTGTACTGCAGAGCAGGAGTACAGCTTGTGGTGTATTGCAGAGCAGCAGTACAGCTTGTAGTGTACTGCATAGCAGGAGCACAGCTTGTGGTGTACTGCAGAGCAGCAGTACAGCTTGTAGTGTACTGCAGAGCAGGAGCACAGCTTGTGGTGTACTGCAGAGTAGGAGCACAGCTTGTGGTGTACTGCAGAGCAGGAGCACAGCTTGTGGTGTACTGCAGAGCAGGAGCACAGCTTGTGGTGTACTGCAGAGTAGGAGCACAGCTTGTAGTGTACTGCAGAGAAGGAGTACAGCTTGTAGTGTACTGCAGAGAAGGAGTACAGCTTGTAGTGTACTGCAGAGCAGGAGCACAGCTTGTGGTGTACTGCAGAGCAGGAGTACAGCTTGTGGTGTACTGCAGAGTAGGAGCACAGCTTTTAGTGTACTGCAGAGAAGGAGTACAGCTTGTAGTGTACTGCAGAGAAGGAGTACAGCTTGTGGTGTACTGCAGAGCAGGAGTACAGCTTGTGGTGTACTGCAGAACAGGAGCACAGCTTGTAGTGTACTGCAGAGCAGGAGCACAGCTTGTAGTGTACTGCAGAGCAGGAGTACAGCTTGTAGTGTACTGCAGAGAAGGAGTACAGCTTGTGGTGTACTGCAGAACAGGAGTACAGCTTGTAGTGTACTGCAGAACAGGAGCACAGCTTGTGGTGTACTGCAGAGCAGGAGTACAGCTTGTAGTGTACTGCAGAGCAGCAGTACAGCTTGTAGTGTACTGCAGAGCAGGAGCACAGCTTGTGGTGTACTGCAGAGCAGGAGCACAGCTTGTGGTGTACTGCAGAGCAGCAGCACAGCTTGTGGTGTACTGCAGAGCAGGAGCACAGCTTGTGGTGTACTGCAGAGCAGGAGCACAGCTTGTGGTGTACTGCAGAGCAGGAGCACAGCTTGTGGTGTACTGCAGAGTAGGAGCACAGCTTGTAGTGTACTGCAGAGAAGGAGTACAGCTTGTAGTGTACTGCAGAGAAGGAGTACAGCTTGTAGTGTACTGCAGAGCAGGAGCACAGCTTGTGGTGTACTGCAGAGCAGGAGTACAGCTTGTGGTGTACTGCAGAGTAGGAGCACAGCTTTTAGTGTACTGCAGAGAAGGAGTACAGCTTGTAGTGTACTGCAGAGAAGGAGTACAGCTTGTGGTGTACTGCAGAGCAGGAGTACAGCTTGTGGTGTACTGCAGAACAGGAGCACAGCTTGTAGTGTACTGCAGAGCAGGAGCACAGCTTGTAGTGTACTGCAGAGCAGGAGTACAGCTTGTAGTGTACTGCAGAGAAGGAGTACAGCTTGTGGTGTACTGCAGAACAGGAGTACAGCTTGTAGTGTACTGCAGAACAGGAGCACAGCTTGTGGTGTACTGCAGAGCAGGAGTACAGCTTGTAGTGTACTGCAGAGCAGCAGTACAGCTTGTAGTGTACTGCAGAGCAGGAGCACAGCTTGTGGTGTACTGCAGAGCAGGAGCACAGCTTGTGGTGTACTGCAGAGCAGCAGCACAGCTTGTGGTGTACTGCAGAGCAGGAGCACAGCTTGTGGTGTACTGCAGAGCAGGAGCACAGCTTGTGGTGTACTGCAGAGCAGGAGTACAGCGAGGGGCTCTGGTTCTTACCGCGACGGGGCCACTCCTACCAGGTTGGGACCCAGACCCCGGAACAGGGACCGGACTCCCTCCTTCTCCACTATCGTCCTGACAACACGCGAAGGGGGTGGGGGGCGTGGGGATACGCGGGAGGTCACTACCGTCCACACAGGGGCGCCGTATCGATTCGCTGCCACGCAAGTTGTTGCTCAACGTCAACATCGGCCGTACGACAAACGCCGTCTGGAATGCAGGTTGTTTTCTTTCTCACAATCCTGGCTATCGCCTGATGAAGCTGGTTGTTGTAATCACCAGCGAAACGTTTCCATAGTCAAACTGTACATGTTGTGGGTTTACTTTCCAACACACAACCGGTGGGCTGAAGTAGTAACCACTTTGCACGTTTTGTTTAGGTGACACAACTTTTTATTAATTGGGCTTCGCCGGGTGTTGGCGGGTTTAACGACACATTTATATTTACATGAAAGCCTACTACAACGTGCTAGACAGAATGCTGCTTCATTGGCACCGTCTGTCATTTACAAGCATTCACTACACGCATGATGTCAGTCAGTACGACGCGAGGCTGCAGCGTCGGCACATCACCTCCACGTGTTTCGACATGTTCGCGACGCGTGTGACGTCAGCGGCACGACACGGCTCGGCACGACTTCTGCAGTGGTAAAATAACCGTGGCCCCTCGCGAGTTACGCCGGGGGCCAGCTCGGCTCGGCTCGGTTACGCAGTGGAAAATCGGTGCTAGCGGGAAAACCGGGTGGCAGCGTCTGTTGTTGATGCTGTTATTATTTCGATTTAAAGCTTTCGTGACTGCAGGGATTCATCTTCTTGGTTCTTTTGGTAAAACGTATGTTTAATTTTTATGATTTTATTATTTTCCTTCTACGTGACTTTACCGCAAGAACCAAGAAGCTGTTATTATCATTATCGCTGGTGCACAGGTGCCCGCCCGCCGTGGCTCACCTGAGACACTGTGCCAAGCTCGGCGTGGCGACGCGGGCGGCGGTGACGGTGCCGCCGCCGCCGGGCACCGCGCCGGCTCCGTGAAGCGCCAGCGAGCCGGGCGCCACGAGCTGCCGGCACGGGGCGAGCGCGAGCGGCGCAGGGGCCACGCCGGAGCGGAGTCCCGACAGGGAGCCCGACGACTGCAGGCGAGTCTTCACCACCTCCAGCGGGCACGTGAGCACCGCGCCCAGCGTGCCGCCGCAGCTGCGCACAAACAAAGACGAACATCTTCGTGGTTCTTTCGGTAAAGTCACGTAGAATGGAAATAATAAAGTAATAAACATATTGTGAGAATTGTTTTATGATGTTTTATTTTTTTTATTTTATTATTTTCATTCTACGTGACTTTACCGAAAGAACCAAGAAGATGAATCCCTGCAGTCACGAAAGCTTTAAATCGAAAAGACAAACATTTAAACTATTTGTATTTTAACAGAGTAAGGCCCACTGAGCTGTCCAGGCCTTTGTCATAAGCGACCTGGCTACCACAAATGATAGCTCAACGAAGTGGCTTCATCATCGCGTGCAAATTTACAGCAGCCAAAATACTCTAAACGCATTGTTTCTAAATGTGGAGGGGAAAAACTGGAGGCCACGGAGAAAAATCCACGCGACTACGGGAAGAGAGGCACGCAAACTCCATATATACAGCAGTCGTCGGGGTCGGGACCGAACCCACGACCTCCTGTATACCAGGTGAGGTAGCTAACATCTCATCACCACGATCCCCCCGTATAGCCTCTAACAGTGCTGTTAGCAAGCAGCACTGATCAAGGCCAGCACGGCACACGAGGGGATGGGTGGCCAACATCACATCCGACCGCCTCTGCCTCCCCGGTGGCGATGTTTACGCACCGCACCAGGTGGTCATTTTAGGCCGCGTCGACTTAGGGGAGGACTCCGACACATACACACGCAACTTTCATATCTATTTTCCTAGAATTTCGGCTCAATTGCCTTACGTATATTATTGCCTGCCTGCGTGCGAACAAAAGTGACGCCACCCGCTACAGCATGACATCAATGTTGGAAGGTAAAAACACAGAAGCAACGCCGTTAACAGCCAGTCAGTGGCGTAGTAACGACATTATCAGCTCAGGGGGTCCGCGCATAGCTGCCAAACCATACGGTTTACCCGTATTCTTGTACAGGGAAATTGTGTTTTCAGGTCCGTACGGTGCACAGCCGTTTCAATACGGGTAAACATTTATTTGTGTCTATTTGTTTGTGTTTCTCTCCTAGTGATGGCACTTTGTAGGATGCACGTTGAGATTAATAAGGGTACGGGGTGACGAATGAGGTCTGAATTGGTCGGCTGCTTGCGTTGTGGCCGAAACGTCGTGAGAATGATTTTATTATGTTTTATTTTTTTTATTTTATTATTTCCATTCTACGTGACTTTACCGAAAAAACCAAGAAGATGATTCCGGTTATCCGGATCGGCCACCACTTCCGGTTCCTGCTCTCCATTAACAGTAGGCATACGAAAGAGGGCAGCTGCAAGTTCTCAATGAAATAAAACTACAAATGCATAATCACCCCACAACTATAATGTGTATCATCTCCAAGCATTATTTTCTGATTTAAAAAAAAAATCTGCGTAAAATTCGAATGTATTGGGAGTGCATCAGCCGCACCTAGTTTACACAACAAAGGCTCATTCCTAACAGCGTGCTTCAGCCGAACCTCACAAAAATAATATCCAGTGCCTACCTTGGCTCCTCCCACCCTCAACCAGTATATATACAAGGACTGTTTTCTTGGAATTTCTCCCACTTGATACAGCTATCGTGCTGTGACGGTTCCACCTGAAGACGGAAGCTTGTGTTGCCTCCGAAACGTCGTGATTTTTATTTTACTTTTATTAATTTTAATTTTTTACCTACGTGACTTTACCGAAAAAACCTAAAAATATGAATCCTTGCAGTCACGAAAGCTTCAAATCTCGAAGCACATCTAAAAGCCGATCTCCATCGCATACAAGTGCCATCGACTCAGCAGCGGACATAGCACTGCTTCACGACGAGTGTGGGTTTCCGGGAAACTGTCAAGGTCACGTAAAACCTCGCGCGAGAACGAACGAGCGTTACGCGATGGCTTACATAACACGAATATTATTTAATTTAAAACAAACCCGTGCAGAGAATGTGTAGTGTCATCACGTGACGCGTGTCAAATATAATGTCGAGACTTTTAGCATTCGGAGTGAAGCAGTGTGGCTCTTAGCCTGGGGGGGAGGGTGGGTGATGCCCTTTCTGGGGGGTGCGGGACATGGCCAGATTTCTTTTTTGGAAAGGTCAACCATCGAAAACACAAATTGGACCACGGACAGGTAAGTACAATTTACTTTGTTTCATTAAACCCTATGTATTCATTAATATTGTACATTGTTTTAACGATTGAGAATCAAAGGGTTCTGCAGTGAAAGGTAAAGAACCACTGGTTTATAAACACATTCCTGCGGAGGGAGCTGATAGAAACGTTGGGTTGCTCGGTCAATGGGCAGGGTCAACGGCGGCGTGGTGTATTCCGCAAATATGCCCGACTGTGAGGGCGGGCACAAGCCGGCGTGAGTAGGTTAAACGTTGAGTTTTATAAGGGCACCACGGGGTGACCAGCCCCTTTCCACCCAGCCCCTCCCCACCCAGCCCTCCCCACCCAGCCCCTCCCCTCCCCACCCAGCCCTCCCCAACCAGCCCCTCCCCAACCAGCCCCTCCCCACTGAGCCCCTCCCCACCCTCCCCACCCACCCAGCCCCTCCCTCCCCACTCAGCCCCTCCCTGCACGACAGACACAATAATCCCCTGTGGGCTGGTGTAACCAGGAGGTTCCTACCAGTAAAATGTTCTCTCGCATCACTTGTAGGGGAGGGAGGGACAGAGTGGAGTTTGCGAGCACCTATCAACAACGCCCAGGCAGCACAGCCAATTCGAGTGGGATCACTCGCCCACACACACGCGCTGTGCTGCCTGCCGTGCTAGCAACGAATTGACACGTTTCGTTTCGGTGACACAAACATTACCAATAGGCTCTGTGTGTCGGGTGGCGTCGGGTTTAACGACACATTTATATTTCGAGTTAAAGCTTCTTTCGTGACTGCAGGGATCCATCTTCTTGGTTCTTTCGGTAAAGTCACGTAGAATGGAAATAATAAAATAATAAAAATAAAACATAATAAAATGAAATATTATGTTTTATTTTTATAATTTTTTCTTTCGGTAAAGTCACGTAGAATGGAAATTATAAAATAATAAAAATAAAACATAATAAAATTAAATATTATGTTTTATTTTTATTATTTTATTATTTCCATTCTACGTGACTTTATCGAAAGAACCAAGAAGACACATTTATATGCACGCGATCTCACCCCACAAAACCTCTATTATTTTGGTTAATTACTAGTCGCGAAAGTCCTCCTCCTGCCACTGCTACTGCTGCGTGTTAATCGCCTGGCACAGCGAACCGTCCGTCCAGTTTGGGGTTCATCACAGCAGAGAGGTCAATGGATGATACAGGAACCCTGGGAATGTTGCACACGATGTCGTCAGATCTCAGGAGCTACGCGCAGCTTGGAGCCACGTGAACACGTAGCAGCGGTAGTAGAGCTTACGCCACCAAGATCATGCATCAGATCGCGTGGATAGAAATCTGTGTCGTTAAACCCGCCACCACCCGGCACAGCCAACGTGGTGAAGCATGGTCAAACAATCCCGCCCCTCGCCAATGAGTGACACTGCGCGAGGTGGCCTTCATCCAGCAGTGGAGTTGACACGGGGGCTGGCAGGTGAACTGAAGCAGCTTGGTTATCTTCAATACCACAAGTTAATAAGCGCTCACAGCGGCTGCTGGGCCCGAATGCTGTTAGGAGCGAGCAGCAACAGCGCCTATAAAGGCGGCATCTGGGGCACACGGGGAGCGGTGGTGGTGGTGGCGGCGGCGGCGGTGGTGGTGGTGGTGGCGGTGGTGATGGTGGTGGCGGTGGTGGTGGTGATGGTGGTGGCGGTGGTGGCAGTGGTGAGTGTTGGTGAGTGGTTGGTGAGTGGTGAGTGAGTGGTTGACGAGTGGTGAGTGTGAGTGTTGGTGAGTGTTGAGTGTTGGTGAGTGTTGGTGAGTGAGTGTTGGTGAGTGATTGGTGAGTGTTGGTGAGTGGTGAGTGTTGACGAGTGGTTGACGAGTGGTTGACGAGTGGTTGACGAGTGGTTGACGAGTGGTTCGTGAGCGGTGAGTGGTGAGTGATCGTCGAGTGTTTAAGTGTGCCAGAGGTTGGTTAGTGGTGAGTGATTGGTGAGCGGCTGGCGAGGGTGAGGCTGTCTAGCGGTGAGTGTTTGACGAGTGGTTGGTGAGTGAGTGGTGAGTGTTGGTGAGTTGTGAGTGGTTGGTGAGTGAGTGGTGAGTGATTGACGAGTGTTTGGTGAGTGAGTGGTGAGTGTTTGACGAGTGATTGACGAGTGGTTGGTGAGTGAGTGGTGAGTGATTGACGAGTGGTTGGTGAGTGAGTGGTGAGTGTTTGACGAGTGGTTGGTGAGTGAGTGGTGAGTGTTGGTGAGTGGTGAGTGGTTGGTGAGTGAGTGGTGAGTGATTGACGAGTGGTTGGTGAGTGAGTGGTGAGTGTTTGACGAGTGGTTGGTGAGTGAGTGGTGAGTGTTGGTGAGTGGTGAGTGGTTGGTGAGTGAGTGGTGAGTGATTGACGAGTGTTTGGTGAGTGAGTGGTGAGTGTTTGACGAGTGATTGACGAGTGGTTGGTGAGTGAGTGGTGAGTGCTTGACGAGTGTTTGGTGAGTGAGTGGTGAGTGTTTGACGAGTGATTGACGAGTGGTTGGTGAGTGAGTGGTGAGTGCTTGACGAGTGTTTGACGAGTGTTTGACATGTGGTTGGTGAGTGTTTGACGAGTGATTGACGAGTGAGTGGTGAGTGTTTGACGAGTGGTTGGTGAGTGTTTGACGAGTGGTTGGTGAGTGGTTGATGAGTGAGTGGTGAGTGTTTGACGAGTGGTTGACGAGTGTTTGACGAGTGGTTGACGAGTGGTGAGTGTTTGACGAGTGGTTGGTGAGTGAGTGGTGAGTGAGTGGTGAGTGAGTGGTGAGTGGTTGACGAGTGTTTGACGAGTGGTTGGTGAGTGTTTGACGAGTGGTTGGTGAGTGGTTGGTGAGTGAGTGGTGAGTGGTTGACGAGTGTTTGACGACTGGTTGGTGAGTGAGTGGTGAGTGATTGACGAGTGTTTGGTGAGTGGCGAGTGTTTGGCGAGTGTTTGACGAGTGAGTAGTGAGTGAGTGTTTAACGAGTGGTTGGTGAGTGAGTGGTGAGTGTTTGACGAGTGGTGAGTGTTTGGCGAGTGTTTGGCGAGTGTTTGGCGAGTGGTTGGTGAGTGAGTGGTGAGTGTTTGGCGAGTGGTTGGTGAGTGAGTGGTGAGTGTTTGGCGAGTGGTTGGTGAGTGAGTGGTGAGTGTTTGGCGAGTGTTTGGCGAGTGTTTGGCGAGTGGTTGGTGAGTGAGTGGTGAGTGTTTGGCGAGTGGTTGGTGAGTGAGTGGTGAGTGTTTGGCGAGTGGTTGGTGAGTGAGTGGTGAGTGTTTGGCGAGTGTTTGGCGAGTGTTTGGCGAGTGGTTGGTGAGTGAGTGGTGAGTGTTTAGCGAGTGTTTGGCGAGTGTTTGGCGAGTGTTTGGCGAGTGTTTGGCGAGTGTTTGGCGAGTGGTTACCCGCCGGCGAACAGATGAACACGCGCGTCTGCAGCCGCCATGCCTCCACTCGCCGTCTCCTTCACCGTGACCCCGCTGACCCCGCGGCGCGCCACGTGGTCTGGACACCCCCCACACGCCCCGCCCCCCGCACGCCCCGCCCCCCGCACGCCCCGCCCCCCACACGCCCCGCCCCCCACACGCCCCGCCCCCCGCACGCCCCGCCCCCCGCACGCCCCGCCCCCCGCACGCCCCGCCCCCCGCACGCCCCGCCCCCACACGCCCCGCCGCCCACACGCCCCGCCCCCCACACGCCCCGCCCCCCGCACGCCCCGCCCCCCGCACGCCCCGCCCCCCGCACGCCCCGCCCCCCGCACGCCCCGCCCCCCGCACGCCCCGCCCCCCACACGCCCCGCCCCCCACACGCCCCGCCCCCCACACGCCCCGCCCCCACACGCCCCGCCCCGCCCCCCACACGCCCCGCCCCCCGGCACGCCCCGCCCCCTGGCACGCCCCACCCCCCCGCCAGGCCCCTCGCCCCCATTGGTCGGTGCTGCCAGTGCGCACTATGGAATCTACACCCCGCGTACTTATACGTGGTGGGATATGTAGAGCGAGTGCTCACACACGCGTTAATTATTAAACTACAACGCAGGCGCTCCCCGACTTACGAACGAGTTCGGTTCCTATAAATTTTTCGTGCAACTCTCTCTTGCATTTGTATTGCTACTGCACGCGAAGTGTATACCACGTGTTATTGGTTCTTTCGGTAAAGTCACGTAGAAGGGAAGTAATAAAATAATAAAAATAAAACATAATAAAATAATTCTCACGACGTTTCGGCCACAACGCAAGCAGCCGTCCTCGGGTGAAGAAACAGGTCTGTTTTAATAAAAATAAAACATAATAATTATTTTATTATGTTTTATTTTTTATTACTTAATAAAAATAAAACATAATAAGATAATTATTATGTTTTATTACTTCCATTCTACGTGACTTTACCGAAAGAACCAAGAAGATGAATCCCTGCAGTCACGAAAGCTTTAAATCGAAGTGTATACCCCGTGTTATTGTACAGCAGGTCAAATTGAGATCAGGTCCATATGGCGTACAGCCGTTTCAATATGGGTAACAACAACAACAATTATTGTCTATTTGTTTGTGTTTATCTCCTTGTGATGGGACTTTGTAGGATGAACGTTGAGATGTATAAGGGCACGTGGTGACCAATACGGTCTGAATTGGTCTGTAATAAGGTAGGGAACTGATAAGGGGTTGACAGGTACAAGTTACAGAGATATGTTCGGAAATCGATTTATTCAAATTTACTCCTGTCGATTTCAAACATGTTGTACGGCGTGTACACTAAACACATGAATGGTTTTAAAAGTTGTAGATGTAGATGCCACTGGTTCTTCACGTTCTGCAGTAGTAGATGTTGCTGGTTCTTCACGTTCTGTAGATGTAGATGCCACTGATTCTTCACGTTTTGCAGATGTAGATGCCGCTGGTTCTTCACGTTCTGCAGATGTAGATGCCGCTGGTTCTTCACGTTCTGCAGATGAAGATGCCACTGGTTCTTCACGTTCTGCAGATGTAGATGCCACTGGTTCTTCACGTTTTGCAGATGTAGATGCCGCTGGTTCTTCACGTTCTGCAGATGTAGATGCCGCTGGTTCTTCACGTTCTGCAGATGAAGATGCCACTGGTTCTTCACGTTCTGCAGATGTAGATGCCACTGGTTCTTCACGTTTTGCAGATGTAGATGCCGCTGATTCTTCACGTTTTGCAGATGTAGATGCCACTGGTTCTTCACGTTTTGCAGATGTAGATGCCGCTGGTTCTTCACGTTCTGCAGATGTAGATGCCGCTCGTTCTTCATGTTCTGCAGATGTAGATGCCACTGGTTCTTTACGTTCTGTAGATGTAGATGCCGCTGGTTCTTCATGTTCTGCAGATGTAGATGCCACTGGTTCTTCACGTTCTGCAGATGTAGATAACGATGGTTCTTCACGATCTGCAGATGTAGATGCCACTGGTTCTTCACGTTCTGCAGATGTAGATAACGATGGTTCTTCACGTTCTGCAGATGTAGATGCCGCTGGTTCTTCACATTCTGCAGATGTAGATAACGATGGTTCTTCACGATCTCCAGATGTAGATGCCACCACCGCCATCTATTGCGCGGCGGTTGAACTTACATTTTTCGATCCGAGCAAGCAACTGGACATACGGACAGGTTTGTTTGTATCTCTGAAAGTCCGTCAGTCGAATGTTCGTAAGTAGAGAAGTCCCTGCATTCTAGATTTGAAGCTTTCGTGACTGCAAGGATTCATACGCTTTGGTTTACCGATAAAACCAAAGAGTATGAATCCTGACAGTCACGAAAGCTTCAAATCTAGAATTAATGCCCTCTACGGGGAGGATTTTCACTTATCTGTTAGAGTTTTTAACAGACAACGAGACAGGAAGTCGCAGCTTATCGAGACGCTAACCTTCCTCAAGAGATGCCGCGACAACAAGGTAATACCCATCGCTTTCACACTCACATCTGCTGCTGTGTCCTCACCGAACGCTAAACGGATTCTGTTCCCCAGTTCCGGCCCAAGTCGTTGCCTCCCAGCGCCCCCTCGGCTTCCCAACTTTACCTCCCAGCCCACACCCTGCCCCCCACTCACCATGCCCCCCCCCCCACCTCTTCATCCCCCGCGACTATATAATCCCTCGTCACAGCCATCTCTGAGACACACTTAAGCGGTTGTGCTTTCGCTACGTTGTCCCCACCTGAAGAAGGACGCTTGTGTTGCGCCCGAAACGTCGTGATTTAATTTAGTTGTTTTCATTTATTTTATTATTTTTACCTACGTGACTTTACCGAAAAAAGTCCCTGCATGCTGTACGGTCTGCTCTCCTCTCGCGCAGTAGTTGCGTTCCTGAGGAACACCGCGTCGTGGAGAAATTGCGTTATAATACATAATGATATAATGTAGGTGTAATGCGAGCAAGAATTGAGGGGGGGCAAAGTCTGGGTCACGTGGGGAGTGGGTGGAGTTAGGGTCACGTGGGAGAGAGGATTTAGGGGGAGAACCGGAAGGGGAAAGGGGAGTTGAGACGGAGTGAAACAGGAGGAGGCCACGCTGGGCAGGACGGAGAGAGTGGCGCGGTTGCCACGCGGTGGGAGACGTCGACACCGTCAGCCATCGGTGTCAGACGCAGAGAGCTAGCGGCTGTGGGAGGCTAGCTGTATACGGGGCAGCAGTGAAGCTAGAGAGCGGAGCAGCGGTGTGGCTGCAAGGTGGAGCAGCAGGGAGACTGCCTAACAGAGCAGCAGGGAGACTGCATATCGGAGCAGCAGGGAGACTGCATATCGGGGCAGCCGAGTGGCTGTGGAGAGAACGTCGGGAGGGACGCGGGGCTGAGCGAGGACGCCGTGGTAACGAGATTCTACGAATCCAATAAAGGACAACGGAGATCGACATCTGAGAGAGAGTCCTTTATTACATAGGGAATAAAGCACGGTTCGTGAAAACGCGTGAGATGCGTATGCAGGCCGAATAGAGACTGAAGCACGTGGGTATCATCTAGAGCAGTGGTTCTTCACCTTTACCGAAGCCTTGCACCCCTTTGGTTCTCAATCGTTAAAATACGTGCAATGTTAATACACGCGTAGGGGGTTGATGAAACAAAGTAGTTGTACTGACGTGTCCGTGCTTAATTTGTGTTTTCGATTATTTATCTTCTCAAAAAAATCTGGCCATGTCTCGCACCCCCAGAAAGGGCATCTTGTACCCCTAGGGGATGCGTGATGCACCCCTAGTTAAGAGCCACTCCTCTAGAAGCATCCAACAGCATCCCCAATGCCTCCCCGTGTGTGAAGATGATTCGCTAAGGCCGCCGCTACGACAGCTTATTCCTACTCGCGCGACATAGTTCCGTCCACTCGATCGCGTTACTACATCCAATTCACATCCGCGTTATAAAAATGCCTGGATTATCAGGGGGCATATATAAATTCTACAGCCCATGCTTATCCATCGGAAAGACAGCGTCCGAGAGACCTGTTCTTCACCTGAGGACGGCTGCTTGCGTTGTGGCCGAAACGTCGTGAGAATTATTTTATTATGTTTTATTTTTTATTATTTTATTATTTCCATTCTACGTGACTTTACCGAAAGCACCAAGAAGATGAATCCCTGCAGTCACGAAAGCTTTAAATCGAAACATAGTGGGGTTTACATCTGGGGGAAAGATGAGAGGAGGTTCCACCAGGGAAGCCTCTGGAACGTTCGGGAAGGTCCCAGGAGGGGCGTGGCCAGAGGCGTGGACAGAGGCGGGGCTTAGTCCCGGGAGGGGGATATATGCGGGACCCCGAGCAACGCAAGGGGTCGGTGTTGAAGACTGCCGCTGCTGCCCCACCATCTCCGTCGACCACGCGGCGGCTCGTTCTCCAGCCGCTCCCTAGCGAACCGTCGTCAGCCAGCGGTGCGTTGGAGAGCGGTGTGATCGCCACGTGGCGGGGGGCAGCGTAGCCCCACGAAGAGCGGACGTCCACAAGAGGAAGAGATGGAGAGACGTGGCTGTACCGAGCTTTATTTGAATAAACAACCGAAGTTACTTACCGTGTCGGAGACCACTCATTACAAAAAAAAAGTGTTCCCTGATATATTCATCGTCGCGTTATATACAATTCGCGTTAATGAAAACAACACGCGACGTTATGTGAGAACTGACTGTGATTCTATTGTATGCAGTAGTGTAACGAGCGTGGGGGGCAGGGTTGTGCCTGGGCCCCCCATTGGTGGCCAAAGCTACGAGTTGGGGCCCCCTTGACAACCGCCATGAGATTTGTTTTTCAACAACATTCATAATATGATAATTGGTTTTTTACCCTTCTATCTGGCAACAAAACTGACACCGTTTTTACAAGGAGTCATGTTTGCATAGACCACAATACATGCAGTCATAATGCAAACAAAAAACATAACTCTGATAATGTGCACTGTCCTTGAAGTTGATTGGTCCACACCCGAGACAGCTTTCCTTAGAGCCTAGTCTCACATGGTGTTGGACCAGATGACGGCAAATGAGGTTCCAATGGTGAACATTCATAATAGTTTAACACGTAGGCTTTCGCGACCAGTATTATTCATAATCAAGGTTTTTGGGTTAGACCGCGTGAGTATAAATGTTGCGTCGTAATCCTCCACCACCCGACACAGCCAGTAAGGTTTGTCAAGTCAACAACTCGCCAATTGGTGACTACCTCAGCCCACCGGTGTGTTGGAGAGTAAATCCACAACATTTACAATTTGAATACCGTGACGTTTCGCTGGTAATTACATCATCCAGCATCATCGGGCAATTTGCCAGAATAGTGAAGCAATCCAACTGCCTGCGGTCTTAAATAGAGCAAGATGACGTCATCGCTGAACCCATCAGAGGCGGAGGAGGGTGGTTACTGTAATCATATAATAGATTAGTAATCAGTTAATTAGCATGTGTTTCCTCCTCTGTAGGGAATTGTAGTTTTCAGATTGTAACATTTTCAACAGCAGTGTGAAAGAACAACGACAACAACAGGACTTGTTTTGCGAAGACGGAGCGCCCCCTAACAGCGCGAAATGTTCGAGACCGCGAGCGTAACGATGATCGATGCGATGAGACAAGAGGAGCCACGATTTCGCGTAGGTGCGACCGTGCGAGACAAATCATAGATTGGGGGGGGGACCCCACCTTACCGATAGCTGATAATGGAGTCACAATAACACGTAGCAAGCTTTCGCGACCAGTATTATTCATAATATAGGTTTTTGGGTGAGAGCCACCCGACACGGCCAAACAGTAAAAAATGTCGATTTAAAGCTTTCGTGACTGCAGGGATTCATCTTCTTGGTTCTTTCGGTAAAGTCACGTAGAAGGAAAATAATAAAATAATAAAAATAAAACATAATAAAATAATTCTCACGATGTTTCGGCCACAACGCAAGCAGCCGTCTTCAGGTGGAGAACAGGTCTGTCGAGAAGACAGAGGCTGCTTGCGTTGTGGCCGAAACGTCGTGAGAATTATTTTATTATGTTTCATTTTTATTATTTTATTATTTTCCTTCTACGTGACTTTACCGAAAGAACCAAGAAGAGTAAAAAATGTGTCACGTTTTTTCAAAGGACAAAGTGAATTATTTTGTCCTTTGAAAAAACGTGACACATTTTTTACTCTTTGGCCGTGTCGGGTGGTGGAGGGTTACAACACATTTATTAATAACGCGATCCGACCCAAAAACCTATATTATGAATGTAGTCACTATGCCACTTTTTATTCTTTTCAACGGTTTTACTTAACTTGATTCCTCTGTTTGTCTGGGTCAAATCTTGTAATCAAAATTGAGTCTACTTCCTCTGGTCCAATCAATTCCAAATTTTGCACACGTACTCAGATCCGGTGACAATGCATGCCTCTTTCAAAATCGGCATCAATGAATAAATTCGCTACTTTAAAGCAATTGACACTTTGTATGGACGCCTTATTATTTATATATAATTGTGTGGAGGTCAAAAACGCCGCGGTCCCTAAACTGTGGAAACGCTTTGCCCAAGAAGCAGGCGCCACGTGTCTCAGGCGCCATTGACGTACTTCTCAAAGACCGCGAGTGAAACGAAGTTGTTAATAAAACCATTGTTTTTTTAAAACTTTTTTTAAGGAGTTTATTACATTTACGAACACATACGTACAAAGGATCACAGTTATTAAAACGTATGAGCACCAGCCTCTATTTATAAGCAAGAGCCGCGATATCTATAGCGGTACTGGGGTTCCCCTAGGTAGACTCAGCCTCATATGAGTCACCCGGATGCAGTGTCATTAAACATCAGCACTGGGGAGACAAAGGCGGCCGAGTGCGGTTGCTGACCACACAACCTCCACGTGTGACATCCCGACCTTCATAGGTGCTCACGAACAGCGCTTGAACCTATCTACGTGACCTTGCCGAAAGACCCAAACAAAAAACATTCCTGCGGAGGGAGCTGGTAGGAACGTTGGGTTGCTCGGTCAACGGCGGCGTGGTGTATTCCACAAATATGCCCGACTGTGAGGGCGGGCACAAGCCGGCGTGAGTAGGTTAAACATTGAGTTTTATAAGGGCTCCACGGGGTGACCAGTCCATCTTCACCCAGCCCCACCCCCCACCCAGCCCCTCCCCACCCTCCCCACCCAGCCCCTCCCTCCCCACCCAGCCTCTCCCTGCACGACGGACGGACACAATAATCCCCTGTGGGCTGGTGTAACCAGGAGGTTCCTACCAGTATGAATTCCTGCAATCACGAAAGCTTTAAGTCGAGATTTGACTCCACAGTGTTCGTTGCTAATTCTTCGTCTGCTGCACCGGCTGCTTTCGCTATTGCTGTTTCCTCCTCGACCGTGTAGGGTACCGTCCATAAATGACGTCACGCACCTAGGGGGGGGTCAGACATTTGTGACGATGTGTGACGAGGGAGGGGAGTTGAGAAATGTGACGTCACATCAAAATGCGCAACTTTAAATAAATGTAGACAACACGTTCTACTTAATTAAATAGACTTTTAATAAATGTTTTCTCCTACAACATCAGAGTGCAGCGCCACATTAAATACGCACTACAATGACAATAGTTTAAAGCGATTTGAAGTATGTTTTATTTTGGGGGGGGGGGGGCAGAGCTTTGTGACGTCATATTTGAGGGGGGGGTCTGACTTTTTGTGACGCCGTGTGACAAAGGGGGGGGGGGGGTCAAAAATCGTCCAAAATCGCGTGACGTCATTTATGGACGGCCACGAGGCCGTGAGCTGCTATATTTGCACAGTGCAACCTCGCGTTGTGACATCGTCATTGCAGCCAGGGGCGGATTTGTCACCGCTCTGAATGTGTCTCAAACGGCGTGGCTCAAATGCGAAGCTGATCGCAATGAATGACGGGAACATCTCTCGCTCGGGGAGGGGGGGGGAGACGCCTTCACAGCCGACCAGAGGTCGCAACCGGGTACCTGATACCCGTACCCTACCCGATACCCGGCTACCCGTACCCGGCCGGGTACGGGTACCCGTTTGCGACCCTGGTGAGTAGGCCGTGAGTCACTGGTGAGTCACCGTTTGTCACTCATTTCGGGTAGTGTACGGGTACAGGTAGAGTACGGGTATCCGTACCTGGCCGGGTACGGGTACCCATTTGCGACCCTGGTGCGGCCAGGTACGGGTACGGGTAAGGAATCAAAACCCGTTTGCGACCTCTGCATCCGACCCCAGACCTCCCCGAGGCAAATCAGACTGTGGCGTTGCAGCGGTTTCGACAACGAACAGCTTGAACTGTTATCTTCATTCGGCAATTCACATTGAAACAATAATATTATTTAAAGAAATAAAAATTCAACAAAACTATTTACAGAAAAGTTTTTTTTTTTGGAAAAATAATTTCTCATCTCCAGCCGCTTGTTGGTGCGGCGCCCCAACGCCCCCTAGTGGACGAACCGCGCCTGTTTATAAGTCGGCGATGACACTGTGATGTCACGTGTGAGTCAATTGTGATGACACGTGTGATGACACGTGTGCTGACACGTGTCATCACACGTGTGATGACACGTGTGATGACACAGTGTGAGCCAATTGTGAATGAGCTGCATGCCAACTTGTACAGCCCCTTGGTTCTTTCGGTAAAGTCACGTAGAAGGAAAATAATAAAAATAAAACATAATAAATTAATTCTCACGACGTTTCGGCCACAACGCAAGCAGCCGTCCTCAGGTGAAGACCAGGTCTGTCGGGGGAGACAACATTCAGAACGCTGTCTCCCCGACAGACCTGGTCTTCACCTGAGGACGGCTGCTTGCGTTGTGGCCGAAACGTCGTGAGAAATATTTTATGTTTTATTTTTATTATTTTCCTTCTACGTGACTTTACCGAAAGAACCAAGAAGATGAATCCCTGCAGTCACGAAAGCTTTAAATCGAAATTTGTACAGCCCCCTTTAAGAATAATGATGACATTTATAACTCGCTAGATTTTGCAGACGAGTCAACAAACTCGGAGGCACGGAGCGAAGCTTCAGCGCTGCTCAACAGCCCTGAGACCAACACAGATAGAGAGAGAGAGGCCTTGAAGATGTTCCTTGAAAGTAGCCGGAGTGCATGTTGATGTTGCGGATGTGCAAACAGGGATCTTGAGAGTCACACACCGAGGGGGCGACAGTAGAGAACCGACGTGAGGCTGTGACGGTGCAGTGTAGAGTGTAGCGTATAGTAGTGTATAGTGTATAGTAGTGTAGTGCATAGTGTATAGTAGTGTAGTGCATAGTGTAGCGTATAATAGTGTAGTGTATAGTAGTGTAGTGTGTAGTGCATAGTAGTGTAGAGTGTAGTGTATAGTAGTGTAGTGCATAGTGTAGCGTATAGTAGTAGTGTAGAGTGTAGTGTATAGAAGTGTAGAGTGTAGTGCATAGTGTATAGTAGTGGTGTGTAGTGCATAGTGTAGCGTATAGTAGTATAAAGTGTAGTGTATAGTAGTGTAGTGTAGTGCATAGTGTAGCGTATAGTAGTAGTGTAGAGTGTAGTGTATAGTCGTGTAGAGTGTAGTGTATAGTAGTGTAGTGCATAGTGTAGCGTATAGTAGTAGTGTAGAGTGTAGTGTATAGTAGTGTAGTGTATAGTAATGTAGAGTGTAGTGTATAGTAGTGTAGTGTATAGTAGTGTTGTGTATAGTGTAGTGTATCGTAGTTCAGTGTATAATAGTGTATTAGTGCATAGTAGTATGGTGTATAGTGGTATAGTGTATACATGTATAGTAGTGCCATGTATAGTGTAGTGCATAGTAGTGTATCGTAGTTTATAGTGTAGTGTATAGTAAGTATAGTGTATGGTAGTGTATCGTGTAGTGTATGGTAGTGTAGTGTGTAGTGTATCGTGTAGCGTATAGTAGTGTAGTGTATAGTAGTGTAGTGTGTAGTGCATAGTGTAGCATATAGTAGTGTAGTGTATAGTAGAGTGTAGTGCATAGTGTAGTGTATAGTGTAGTGTATAGTAGTGTAGTGTATAATTGTGTATAATGTAGTGTATGGTAGTGCAGTGAAATGTCATGTATAGTTGTGTTGTGAATAGTGTAGTGTATAGTAGTGTTGTGTATAGTGTAGTGTATCGTAGTTCAGTGTATAGTGTAGTGTATAATAGTGTAAAGTAGCGTAGTGTATAGTAGTGTGGTGTATAGTAGTGTCGTGTATAGTGTAGTGTATCGTAGTTTATAGTGTAGTGTATAGCAGTGTAGTGTATAGTAAGTATAGTGTATGGTAGTGTACAATAGTGTATCGTGTAGTGTATGGTAGTGTAGTGTGTAGTGTATCGTGTAGTGAATAGTAGTGTAGTGTATAGTGTAGTTTATACCCACGTGAGGCTGTTACAGTTCGAGAGATTGATGTCCGAAGCAGATTTTGAGTATCGCTGCGTTGAGTTGTACCATGAGCTCAGTGCATGATGATGGATGGTTGCCTCCCCTCCACCTCTGTGCGGCTCCTGGGGTGGTGGTCACTGCACCATACTTCACCACGCTGGTCACATTTGCAAGACTGCACTGCCCTCTGCTGCCGCATTAACTGCACTGCTGCAGCATCTGTGCGGAGGGAGATTTTGGCGTCAAACTTGGGCCCACTTCTAACAGAGGGAAAGGGTTCTTGCTCGTATTGAACTGATGCTGCTGAAATGTTGTGCACTCCCAAGAAGGCCTTGTTGCTGATAGGGTGTGGAAACCAAAAACGTATTCTGTGGAAGACACAGATACGTGGAGGAGGATGTCGCCCATCCCATCAACAATCCAGGCTCAAGCCTGATTAGCTTCCACATCTCTCCGACGAGTTTTGGGCGCATTCTCGGTAATTTGGCCAGGCAGTTTTAACGTCCCATTCGACAGCGACCTTCGGCGATGGCCATTTGTGAATCCTGTGAGAGACACCTCGTCCAGGACTCAAACCCAGATTCTCTATAGTGCTGGCCATTATGAATCCCCTTGACAGGCAACCCGTAATTAAAGCCTGTAATCAAATGTATTGAGTTGACGGTCTAACCCAGTCACCAATAACTGCACCACATAAAAAAAAAAATTCACTAAATTGGGCTTATTCAAGCTCCAAGAAATATAATATTGCACCGGTTGACACGGAACACTTTTTTCAGGACATTTTAAAGGTCTGTCCCGAGTTTGTGCCTTTGGTGCTGTAATGCCATCTTACAGCATTAGTCTGACACAGGGTTGACGCACTGATCCCTTCGATATATTCCCAATGGAGAATTATTTGCCTGAGAATGCGACACTGATTGGACAATTATGCTTCCATTTTTGATGGGTAACAAAAAATTTACCCGTAAAAACAAAGTTTTTCACTATAAATCCTTTATATGCGTGTTCAATGGGCCACAACCCAGCCCACATTGGTCTTTGAAACGGGCGGCTAGAGTCCTCTCGTCCTCTGGCTTGAGATGGCTGCCACCTATGGGTCAGATGATTGCCTGCCACCATTAAGCAATTGGTAATTAAATATAAGAATTTTTTTTTACCTACAAAGTGTAAAATTTTGGAAAAAAAATTTCACAAAAAGAAATTGTCACGCACAACGAGTCTGTGTGCAAAATGTCAGCTCGATTGGATCACGGGAAGTGGGTTAAAAAACGACCAAAAGATTTGCACGGTCGTAAGCGCGCAAGCAAGCGAACTTAATATAAAGGATTTAAAAAGACGCACAGCCAGCAACCATCTTGGGCACGTCTTGAACTCGAGATCTCAGCAGCGGTGGGTTCGTGGCTTTTCGATGGCCATTATAAAGTAAGAAATAAAATATCTCGTGAGAAGTAAATAAATCTGTGAGTGGCATGTGACAAACATCATTGTCGTCTATGCGGAGCGAATGGGCAAGTTGCTGCTCCCTACTGCATGGACCAGAGTTCTCTTGAAGTTATCCCGAGCGGTAGCTCGGTCATATCCACTTCCGAAAGCTATTTTCGTTTGCCACAAATGAACCACAATAACCTTGCTGATCTCGTAGTAGGTTTTTACCCTTTTAAACTGGTACAAAACTGACACCTTTATTCAAGGCATCATGTTTGCAATAACCACAACACAAGTAGTCAAAAAAGCAAACAAAAAGAAGCAACTCTGCTTTTTTGACTACTTGTGTTGTGGTTATTGCAAACGTGATGCCTTGAATAAAGGTGTCAGTTTTGTACCAGTTTAAAAGGGTAAAAACCTACTACTATATTTTGCCACTGGTAAAAAAAGATCTCATAGAGTACTTGCTGATCTCGTCAAGGAGTATAAATCATCACGCGAACTTCGGTCATCCTTGCAGCAGCTGCTTATGGATAGCCACAGAACAAAGAGGGTCACTGCATCGCGCACCTTCAGATGCGCTTCTGCGGCCGTCAGGAACGCTCTTCCTTCCGATATTTTAGAAAGTCACTGGAGTTGTGCACTTTTAGATTGGGTGGGTGAGTGAGCGAGCGAATGAGCGTGTGAAAACTACTTACTTTACAACTGCTTTTTGTGTTTAAGTTGTTGTCCTTCCCCCCGCACCTCCGATTATCACGGTTGGATACGTGCGGTGTGAGAGAAGTCCAACACACGTACGTACATTCTCAAACACGAAGGAGTTGCACTGGCTCTGTGACAAGAGACAGATAATCAATTCTTCATCTCGTTATGCAATACTGATGGCGCAAGAGGGATAGAATTATAGATTTGAAGCTTTCGTGACTGCAAGGATTCATACTCTTTGGTTTTTTCGGTAAAGTCACGTAGGTAGAAAATTAAATAAATGAAAACTAAATTAAATCACGACGTTTCGGACGCAACACAAGCGTCCGTCATTGGGTGGGAAAGCATGGCCTGCTGCTGATGCAGACTGTTTTACCGAAAAAAAAACAAAGAGTAGGGATACAATTACAAATACTTATTTGTTTAAAGGAGAAGGCGATGAGCAAGAAGGTTGCAACGCGGAATTTTGGTTTCTAAAATGTTTAATGATACAGGTATAACAAAACAAAGTTGTTTGCTGTTGTTATATACATTAAATGAATGCTATACATGAGACAAAAAATAGCAAATGTTACGCGTATAGTAATACAATATAAACAATGTCACAGGTACAATTACAAGCGAACACAACTTTGTTCTTTTTGTATTTTTTTTTTTAAAGTCCGGTACATTTAAAAAAAAAGCCATCGTATGTCCCATTTCGTAAAATACAAAGCGTCTGTGGTGAGTCGAACGCTGACCCGGCGGGCGACAGACACAACTAAAAACGGTCTCAGTGAGAAATTCTGTAAAATCATGTGGTGGCTATTTTAGAAGGAAAACAACCCCCATTTACATGTTTCAGTTAAGTCTGTACAAGTGCTTGTTATATATATAGTAATTTTTTTTTATTTTTGTTTAAAAAAAACGTTAACTTGATTCCCTAACTACAGTATACTGTCAATGCATTATTAAAATGACGGGAGCGTAGTACAAATTATTATAATAATACATTGTATAATAATAATAGATCAGGTATACAGCACTGCAAAGGAGACACCTCTTGAGAGAAAAAAATAAAGAGAAATATACGAACACGTTTACAAAAAACGATGAAAATTATGAACCTTTGCAATGAGATGGCATATCAAGCTTGAGATTGTTAAAATTGCGCGCAAAATTGGCTTGCGACGTTTGTACGAGACTGTCGGGTTAAATTAAGTATTCTCTCAACGCGGTCGACAGCGGACGTGCCACAACGCACGCTGGTTTTCACCGTGGCCGCGAAAGCCAGGATATGCTGTACGGCGAAAAGTCGATAAGGCAAAACACATCCACGATTGTTATCGAAAACGAAATGCTGTCGCTCATTTAAGAATTGTCGGGACACAAAACAGAAGATAGAAGCTATAACCGTAATGAAAAGACAACCCCTTCTTGATTGAAAAAAAATACCACAAGCGTGAAACGAGGAGTTGGATATCGTGTAGGTTCTTGCGATTGTGCTGTAGATCTCCCCGACGCGTGTGCGCGCGTGCGTTGGGTTGTACCGCGTTGCGTTCCGCGCGTGATGTCCCCACGTTTCATTTTGGGAAAGAATCAAACAAGCTCCCAGAGCGGCACAACTCAAAAAACATGCCGGAGAATTCAAACTTAAAAAAAAAAAATGTCATTTGGACCGAGCGTTTTTAGCTCCCGTGATTGAAATTTTTTCTTTTGAAATTCGTTTTAAACTGAGCGGGAAAATAAGTAATTGCACGGCAGTTTGTGAATTTGTACTTTAAAACAATAATTTAGGGAAATCCATAAAGTGAATAGGTAACTCTCAATGTGATCGATAAAACTGAACGACTGCAAATCGCACAATCGTTACCTGCTAACTTCTTAAAACAGTATTTTTAGTGAAGTGAACTTTAGTGAAATTGTCTTGTTATTTGAAATAAAAAAAAAACACTTTGCATACCCCTCCGTATATATATTGCAACAGTTGTATCTGTAAAATGACACAGATCCAAAAACATGTTCACAGAAAGTGAGAATGTTTTTTTTTTAATCCGTTCAGGAGTTTCCTTCTCATTATTTAATCTCTCTTTCAAAGCTCGCCCCCTCCCCTACCCTCAATACTGTACAGAGCTATGTGCAATGTAACAACACTTTTTCTCTATATTCATTAGTCCACTATGAGCCCGTGTGTCCGCATAAAAAAAAATCAGGGGGGAAAAAACAGCGGTAGCGGCGGGTGGTGGGGAAGTATCGTAAAAATATGCAGGAAAAAGTCACTCTCCTACTTTTTCAATCGAAAGCACGGTTCAAGGATGCCCGTTTTTACTTCTGCCGGATAAGAAAGTGTGCTCAATTTGCCGGATTATTAGCGAGTCGATGACAACGGCGCGCGGTGATAGTTTTACTACAGCATCCGACGCTTTTAAACGCGTGACATTTCAAGAGTGAATGCTTCCGACGATTTTTTTTTTAATTGTCGACGCCAGCGGAATAAAAGAAACATAATAAAAGAAATACAGTAATATGAATGCGAGGGGACTTTCTCCCATGCTTACATCGAAGAAAACACACCTCAACTTTCGCGAGATCGCAACGAGATTTGGACTCCTTTTGCCGGAGAATAAAAACCCTTCGGTTCGTCGACGCCGGCGACCTCCAAGGTTTCCCCCCCCCGCCTGCCCGCCACCGGACGCAAAAGAGAGGCTGTCGCTAAATAAATGAAGTCGCTTTATCGCCAAAAAAAACATTTGGCACTGTCGAGGCAGTAGTATGGTTATACAAAAAAAAAAGGACCTAAAATTACGTCGGATGTATCGATGTTGTCGCTCACGAGGAGAACCCGCTCCCAATAAATCGCACCCACCTCCTCTCCTGCCGCTCGGGAAGCTGCTAACGTGAAGTCTGCGTGAGGCCTCGTCTCCCCCCAACCGGCTTCTCGCCACCCCACGGCGACGAATCATCGCAGATCATCTACTAGCCGTGGCGAGATCGGTGAAAGGAGACGCACGCACGCTTCGATTTCATCAACGATGCCAAAGCGCGCACGCACACAGGAGGGGGAGGGGGCGGGGAGCGGGATAACGGTTGGCAGAGCGGAAAAAATCACGGTAAAGTAACACGAAACCAAACTTCAGCACCCGGGCATTTAGGCGTTTCTACTCCGGCGAAAGCGACTCTCTGCGTCTCTCGTCACATTGCTCCCGAACGTATGTTGGAAACGTTAAAAGCGCGCGCACGCACGCACGCACGCACGCGCGCGTCATACTGGCTTCCGAGACGAATCGAGCACCTCTTTTGCAGACGGGGGTGGAGGGGGATCGGGGGAAGAGACATGAGAACCCCTGCACACACACGCGCGCAGGTCTCCTGCTACCCATCGCACCTTCTCTCACTGCCCGTTGAGCTGGGTGGGACCAAACAAGGGGGGGGGGGGGGTGCCGCACGTGTGACTGCCAACACTGATAGAGGCTTGTCCAGTCTCACACTGAAATGTTTCAGGCGGTGGTGAAAGCCAACGCAATGGTTGAACACAATAGCCATGCCAATGTGGCATTTCTTTTCTCTCTCGCTCGCTCGCTTTCTCTAGCCAACACACATGGTACGTAAAAAAAAACCACAACCCCTTTCCTCACTTCATATATACTTTTTTTTTATATATGTACAGGAACAGCCATGCAAAACCATCTTATACCCCATATTAGTGGGATTATTTAAGTATAAATGCAGTTTTATAATCTACATACCTCATATCTTACAATATACTAATGTATAGCCAATAGTGCTATTGTAAAAATATTATTGTAATCATAATAATAATGCACAAAAAAAGCTTAATGGAAACGCAAAAAATTAGTCGGAGATAAGCGAGGAGGGAGGGGGGAGTACTTTTGCTCAAATTTCTCGTTAAACGCTCAGTATGTATTGACTTTGAAGGCCACTCAGTCTAAAATATAACTTTGAGAAGTGACAGTCATCGCACGCACCATCACCGTTTTGTTTCCTTTCCATATACGAGAGGCACGCTTATTCGTGCACAGTATTTAATCATCGAAAAACGGGCACTAAAAATTATAACGTGAGCTCTCGATCCGAATCGAAAAAACAAGTTGTAACTCGATAATTTCTTTGAAATGAAAAAAGAAATATAGCAACAAAAAAAAACAAGACGGCTCCACATGAACGAAACGAAGCTCTCTCTCTGCCTCTTGAAGCAACGTCGTCGTGACGTTAAGTTAAAAAAGAAAAAAAAACACGCGAGAACGACGAACCTCTTCGGTAAAACGCAAGGTTCGGTTTAAAAAAGATGGGCGCGCGTTCGGTACCCAGAGGTTTCTGCATCCGTCGTAGTAGAAGTACAAACTGGGGTCACGGCAAAATTGTACAAGGGGGGGGGGGGGTCGAGTTAAAATCACCGGTCGGCAGCTTCCTCCGATAGCTGACCGATGTTTGTAAAAACACCAAAACCACTCACACCTTTGCCTTTCAGCTCGGTTCCAAAATGAAATGTTATATATATATACTTTGTATATGTTAAAACTGCTGCCCCCCCCCCCTCCACACACACACGACTTAATTTGTCCACGTGTACCGACAACGGGGGACAAGTGTTAGGGGGGGGGGGGTGGAAGCCGTGTGTGGGGGTAGACAATTTGAGACGAAAGCCGCTCCCCCCTCCGTCCATGATCATCGCGGCCCACGGGACGAGTCACGGGTCCCGGCGGGGGAAGTGCGGTTTCCACCGTCACGTCTCAGTTACATGTCGCTCTCATTTCAGGAGCGACCTGGCGATCGCAAGCGACAGCTCAAACGAAGCGGCTTATTCATCACGTCAAAATTTATAGCAGCCAAATCATCTGAACCAAACGTTGATTGTAAATGTGGAGGGGGTTTAACCGGAGGACCTGGAGAAAAAATCCACGCAACCACGGGGTGACCATGCAAACTCCAAATATACAGCAGGCGTCAGGATCGTGATCGAACCCATGACCTCCCGTATACCAGGCGAAGTAGTTAACATCTCGCCGACGTGGCGTGACCCGTCTCTCTCTTGTCGCGCGCATCACGGCGACAGTCAGGCCAGTGGGCAAGGATAGGTAAACCATCGCATGCCCGACAAGACTTAACGAGCGAACTGGGCCACCTTTTTTCACTAAACCTTCACAGCGGCTGCTTGTGTAATGGGAAAGAGAATCCACTGGGCCCGTAATGTGCGCATTGAAGTCGCGTAGACACGATCTTTACGGTTGAGGAGAGGATTGGCGGCAAACGTAGCTTCTCTTGGGACCGACGAATCGAGAAAACAAAAACTCGGCACGTAACTCATCTTCGGCAAGCGGGTCATGTCGTCTATCGGCGAAAAACCAAAACCGAGAACGTGACAGTAAATATGAATCCATCAGTTAATACAGTTATAGTCGTCCTGTCATTGATCACAGTGGCAGTTATCAAGCGAAGAGAGTATGTCTAAAATAAAATTATAACCACGTAATGTTAACGTTAAGCCTTTAAAAGAGTGGGAACCTTGCTGCCGGAGTGGGCACTGCTTAGCGCTGCTCACCCGACACTTATGTACAAAACCGGTTGACGGGCGCCACTGCCGTTGGATGGCAGCGGCCTCCCTTTAGCTGCCGTCAGTATGTGAACTTGTCCCAAAGTGTTCGGTGGTGGAAGGACAGTGGAGGGGGGGCGGGAGAGTGGAGTGTGGTGGGAGTCGAGTGGCGAGGACGCGCGAACATTTTTTTGCGCCTCGAAATTTCTCCCGCCGCGCATCGTGCTTTGACAACGATACACATATATTTTTTTTCTTTCAAAGTCACACCGAGCCGTACGGAAACGCGCGACCCCGAGTCAGGCAAGCAGGCACGTGCGTTTACGCTCCACATTGCGCTCAAGTTTTCACGTTCACCGAAGTCTTTTTTTTCAACACGATGCCGGTTGCGGCGACGGGGTGTAGAGGTTTTTTTTCGGGGGGGGGGGGGGGGGGGAGGTGGTTTGCGGTGAGAGTGCGAGGGAGAGGAGTAGTCTTGCCTTCGGCGTCCGTAAAAGTCCAAGCGTGTGCGCAAAAGCGTCCTCTCGTTTTTTGCAGGTCTTCGGCGACGAGAGGCAAAACGTTCGGGTTCGCCCGCCGCCGCCGCCGCCGCCGCCAACCACTCTGGCGATCGCGTGCTACGCACGTCGGGCGAGCGGGTTTCGTATCCGTCCATCCGGGAAGGACAGAACTACGGAAAAATACGTTTGGCCGAGACGTGGGAGGAGGGGAGGAGGAGGTGGGAGTGGTCGTGGGGTAGAGGCTAAGGGGCTAGAGGCAGGGCACCACTGGGAGGGTAAAGGGGCGAGGGTCGAAGGGAAGGGGAGGGAGGGTGCTTGAAGCTTACATCACGTGATAAAAGGAGTGCGTCACATGACACATCTCAGACTTGCAGTGAATGTCGCTCACATGACTGACGTTGCTCCTATTCAAGTCACATGATTTTCTAGAAAACAAAGAAAGTGGAAGTTTAAAAAAAAAATTAGTAAAATGGCAAGCAGACAGGTTCGGTAATTCATCACATGATGTCGTATAATTGTCTCATGCCTGTGCTGGAACACATTTCTCCCCCACCCCCGCGCCCCGATTTATATCAAGTCTCCCACCCAACCCCCCCTTCAAATTTAACGACAACGATGATCGTCTACGGCGTGACTTTTAACGCTCAACAACCCTAGCCGTTCAATACGCAACTTAAAACAAATGTCGCGGTTGGGGGAGGGGGGCGGGGGGGGTCACGTAACTGCCTTCACCGTCCAATGGGCTTCCGGTAAACGACAAACAACATTACCTTGCGTATGCCGATGCACGAAATGATGGGAAATATATATATATATAAAATAGTTAAAATAGTAAATGCAAAGGACGGTCAAAATATTTATAGATTGTTTTAACAGCAGGCGGTTTGTGTTCGCCCGAGCGTACTTGTACACATAAGTAAGGAGAGGGACTGTCTTCAAAACGTCGGCAAACTATGAACTCGCTACCTTCCCCGCTGGAGGCTGCCGACGCACGATTTTCAACAAAATGTTCCAAATATCCATGGTAACAATTCAACAAAGTGCTCCTCCTTACTTCTCTTTATTATTCTGACGAAGTGATAATAAAAAAAAACGGGTCGAGGAGGGATGGGGGCACACGGCGAGTCAAGGGAATCTTTTTGTGTTGCAAGTAACTTTCGTGGCACGTGCGTTCAAAAAGACTTATCGATCAACACGCGACAAAATCGGCACCGAGTGATAAACGTGTGTGTGCGCTGCGGTTAGCGTATCATCATCATCATCACCGTTATTTGTAACCATTAGTTCGTTACCGATACAAGGCATGCGGCGGGCCTTTAATGAAACGGCAACGCAAAGAAAAGTCAAGCAGAGAGTGAATCTGCGCGGCGTGCATTTGCGGCGGCGGGGGAAAAGCGGAGGGATCGGGGGGGGGGGGGTTCCGGGAGGGGAAGGGGGGGGGTCAGTGGAGAGGGGAGGGATGCTGTCACGAGTCTCTGGCTCGTGTCTGGGGTGGGTTGGATTGGGGTGGGGGGGGAGACAGAGGGGTGGGTGGGGGGAGGAGGTCAGGGGTGGGGGTGGCATTGAGCGAGAGAGTGAGAGAGCGAGCGAGCGAGCAGGTGAGACAGGTGAGGAAGGTGGGTGGTGCGGGAGTCACATGATGGGCAGGCGGATAGGACAGGGCGGGGAGTCCGGGTTGGGGGGTGGAGACTGGTGCCCCGACGCGGCGCTGGGGTCCAGGCCCGAGTGCTTGCTCATGTGCTTCACCAGGTACGTCTCCTGTGGACACCAACACGGAGAGAGAGAGGGGGGGAGCGGGCAGGGAAACAAATTATAGGAGAGGGAGGGAGGTGAGAACAGAAGAGCAGGGAGGTGAAAACATTTTAAAGCATTCAGATGAGAGGAGAGCGAGCGGAGGAAGATCGAAGGAACAGAAGGGAGGATGGAGGAAAGGAAACAAAAATTCGGGAGAGGTGGGGGAGGGAGAAGAGAGGAAAGGGAAGAAAGAGGGCATCAGAGAAGAGTGTTGTAAGATGGAGAGATAAGAAACGTGAGGATAGTCAACGAGGTGAGGGATGGAGATTAAAAAAAATAGAGGAGAGAGAGAGGGGGACAGAGAGAATGTAGCACAAACGCCAATGGAAAATGCACTCTCTGGCAAGTCAGCAAAAGTTACACCAGCCTCTCACTCGCTCGCTAAAATATAAACGAAGTTGTGACGAACGCAGCGACACACATGGGCAACAAACAACAATGTTGGTGCACGTCAAGAAAGTTACCAACCAACCCCGCTGTGACTCGTGTAACACCCCCGACCCTGTTGCAACTAATCCAGCACGCTAACATTTCCGCAGCCGACCATGCCTGGGCGTCATGGTGACGAGATGTTAACTACCTCGCCTAGTATGCAGGAGGTCGTGGGTTTCATCCCAACCCTGACGCCTGCTGTTTGCGTGTATCTTTCACCGTGATCATGTGGATTTTTCTCTGGGTCCCCCGTTTTTCCCTCCACATTTAGAAACACGGGTTTTAGAGCATTTGGCTGCTTTAGATTTCCACGCAATAAGCCACTTCGTTGAGCTATCATTTGTGGTAGCCAGGTCGCTTCTGAAAACAGAGGCTATATAGCTCGGTGGAGCCTTACCTGGCAAAATAAAATATAGTTTAGTGGGTTCCGGAGCCCTCTCGTCGTGGCCGGGACACCTCGAAGTTGGCACCAAGCTCTTGAACCACGATGACGACGCCGCCGCCGCCATCGCGCGCGAGAACAACACCAAGCGTCGCAACCCTACCGCATCTTATTCGCACGCACCCTATCGCTGCTGCAACTCGAACTCTATATTTATTTTACCAGGTAATGCGTCACTGAGCTGTAGAGCTCTTTTTCAGCAGCGACCTTTGCCACGAATGATAGGTCAACGAAGTGGCATATCAGGTGGAAATTTACGGCAGCCAAATACTCTGAACGCACGTTTCTAAATGTGGAGGGAAGAACCGGAGGACCCGGAGAAAAATCCACACGACCACGGGGAGAGAGAGACACGCAAACTCCAAATATACAGCAGCAGCAGCAGGCGTCAGGGTCGTGATCGAACCCCACGACCTCCTGTAGACCAGACGAGGTAGTTTAACATCTCGCCAAACTTCCTCTACTTCTGCATCAAAATAAGAACTCGGCCGCGTGGTACAGCGGACCTCTCCGCCGCCGCCGCGACGGCGACGAACTGCGCGCGTGCACTGACCGAGGTGTAAGCCCTGCCGCAGATGTTGCAGCAGTAGGCCTTGGCGTGCTTGACAGCGTGTGTTGCCAGGTGGATCTGTAGCGAGGACGAGTCGGTGTACGCGCGGTAGCAGTTGGGGCACTTGTACGGCTTGTCCTTGTTGTGCTGCCGCTGGTGGGACTGCACGTGCCACGTGACGGGGGGGGGGGGGGCAGGCCGGAAGAGCAGGGTGGGGGGGGGCACGAGGGAGGAGAGAAGGGAGGTGGAAAGAGGGAACGGAGAGAGGGCGAGACGCTCGAGGGACAGCTCCCACACCTGTGGTGACCGCTCGATAACAGAACCTGACACAATGCCAAAGATCCCCGTCCCGCTGCGTAGCCTCTAACATGAGCTAGCGTTGTTGGCGAGCGCCTATTAAGGCCGACACGGCACATGAGGTCAGGGTGGGTGGGTGGCCAGCAACACACGGCACCAGGCACTCAATTCAGGCCGAGTCATGCTAGGGCAGTCCCAGAACCGGTTCAGATATTCGTCACCAATGTTGTCCGTGTAATTTCTGAGACCGCACCAACTTGCCTGAAGGTTGGAGAGCTGGGTGAAGGCCTTGTCACAGCCGGGGTGAGCGCACTTGTAAGGCCGATCACCTGTGTGGATTCTGCAGCGCACACAAGACACGCGAGACAATTGTACACGGTGGCAAGACGGTGGTGGCACGTGCGGTGACACAACCAAAGAGGGGCGCCGCTGGAGGTATGACGACGATGATTTACGGGAGAAAAAACTGGAAGGGAAGTGAGCAAGAGGTTATAGAGACAATGAGCACTTGAACGGGACTCTCCATGGGTAACATGCTGAACACTGCAAGAGATGGAATGATTCCATCATGGGAATCAACCCTCGGTTACGAGGACGACACTTGAGAAGGCAGTAGAGACTTTAAAGATGCACTCCAAAACCAATTGGTGATGCTTGTATCGGTGCACACCCAGAAGGCACGGGTTGGGTTTTCAAGGGAAGTCTGGGAGCCGAGTATCGACCACTAGTCTACAATGTGACGTGTATCTTGGTCTATCAATTGACCGCTGGAAGCAAAGGCGATCCCCCCAAACCCCCATTGGTCATTGCAGGTCCGGTCATATATCACTTGCTGCCGATGTGTGGCTTTGAACCGAACTCGGCTTAGGCAGGTTCATAGCGCAGTGCGCGAACCACTAACACCGGCTCCCCCCTGAAAGGGTTGCACGACGCAGATGATTCTGCAAGGGAGAAGGGAAGAGAATGGAAGGAACAGGAGGAGCCCATGGACCGATTGACTTGCAAACACATTATTGTGCAGAGAGATAAACAAGTTTATCTACTAGGCGGTGACGCAGCTCAGTAGCAGCGGGCGGTTGCCACTTGTTGCAGAGTTTCACAGTTCTAACCCTGTGGCTGCCCTGGTTATCACTGTGGCAGTATCAACCGTAAAGTACACTGCGTCTGCTACACAGTGGGCATTCGAGATCCCCTGCGCGTGTGGGCCATTGTTTGGCGGTGCCACGAGCCAAATTTGCCAAAGAAAAAAAAATCCTCACAAACTACTCAAATGGGATACACACAACAGCAACTATCGCCCGCCTCGCCTTGCTGGCAGACTAACGCACGATGCAGGCCAGGTTCCGAGTCACCTCGTGACGCACAGGTACAGCAGCTGCCACTGGGGGCGTCCTATATAATGTTGCTGATATAAAACTAAACTATTTGTATTTTACCAAGTAAGGCCCAAATACTCTCAACGCGTTGACGTTGATTCTAAATGTAGAGGAAAAACCGGAGGGCCCAAAGAAAAATCCACGCGACCACGGGGAGAGAGAGACACCGCAAACTCCAAATGTACAGGCCGTCAGGGTCGGGATCGAACCCACAACTTCCTGTATAGCAGGCGAGGTAGTTAACATGGGGCGCCACGGTGGCGAGAAAGAGAGAGAGATGAAACGTGACGCAAAGCCGCACGCAAAGCGCTCCCGAGACACAATCTCGCGCGAAGGCGTCGACCCGTCGCCACCGTCTCTCGTTCGCCACCTAGGAGATGCGAACGAGCAGCACGCAAAAAAGCCACCCCCGCCCACACACCGTGTGTGCTGCTGCAGGTGCGACAGCTGGCGGAAGGCCTTCTCGCAGTAGGAGCAGTGGTAGGGCCTCACGCCCGAGTGGATGCGTAGATGCTGAGCCAGGTACGAGGCGTTGGCAAACGACTTGGAGCAGTGCGGGCACTTGTGCGGCTTGCCCTCCGTGTGCGACTTGGCGTGCGTCTGCATCTCCGACTTGGTGAAGAAGGTCAGGGGGCACATCTTGCACCTGCCCACCGGGGGCGTCGTTGTCGTCGTCGTCGTCGCGGGGACCACACGCCGCGGCGGTTGGCGATTGTTGGTCGGGAGGAGACGTTCGTTGTCCGTTATGGGGTTGTGCGAGGGAGCGGAGGTTGCGGATTTGTTTTGTTTAGATGGAATTGGTTGGATCGGTAGGGGTGTCCGTGAGCGTCCGTGCGCAGAGATGGGTGGATGGGTTCGGTTGGGGTTGCGGATGGGGTTTAGGGGAGAAGAGAGTGACAAAGAGACACAGAAGTAAGAAGGACATTCTATACAATTCATTAACATGATGAGCACCCAACCACTCTTATTATTGTTGTGAGAAAGTAACAATTCAATAGGCATGTAAACACTCACACCGCCAGCAATTTAATGAATTCTCACCATTGTCTCATTCTTATTGTCACTCATTCATTCCTTCGTTCCATTCGTCAAGGTAACATTTCTCTCTATTCCGGGTTACAATTTGATTCAGTAAGATGCTTTTTGTCCAGATTTGTTCTGGCTTTGCGTCTATTCCTTCACACATTGCATTTGCCTTACTTGTGCTGTTTTGTTCGTCCCCGTTTGCCTAAATATAACGTTAGCATATACATATCCATGATCTAACCAAATAATTAATAATCTATTAATCAAGGCATCGTGACATGCCTCAATGTCAGCGATTCTAAGCACTCCTTAAAGATTATGACGTATGTATCGTGAAATGTGCGTAATAAAACAAGACCAATTTAATATTTCAATGCGAAATAAATGATTTCAGATCGTTTCACATTCAGGTCAGTTCATTATATTACCCACAATCCACGAGGACAGCACAAAATACATGTCGCTTAACAACACACTGAGCGAGGGGGTTGAGCAGTGGCGCAGCGGTTCAACACCCAATGCTACCAAACCGGAAACCTGAGTTCGATCACAGGCCATGACTAGCATCAATGGCGAGTGATCGTTATAAACTGGTCCTGGGCCCCCCACCCCCGCCTCTTTGACCAATCTGCACTGACCAGCGTAGTAAAGTTCGGTCGCACAACCTCCATGACTAACAGTGCACAGGGAAGGGGCCTTTCTCTACAAGTAGACTGACACAGAAGGGCTGTTAAACATTACGGCATATTATTTAAAATGTAATAAACAGGTCGTGGGATTTACAGCTATAGTGCACCGCCACTAACGCCCCCCCAATGGCTGATACATGGACAAAGCGTCGACATTTATCTCCTGCATGACTTCGCCGCGTCAAGGTAGAAATAAAAGTTGGTGGTACAAAACAGGGCTTTGCTTTTACCAGCGTCCTCAACTTGATCCAAATCGGGTTAAAAGCATAGCAACCAGCAGTCCCAGAGCACGGCGAGGGCATCTTTCAAAACTTGCATGTGCACCACCACGCAGAAAGATTATAAACATCATACGAAGATCATGTTTTTTTTTTTTTTACCAGTGAGCTAACTAAATAAATGGGACCCTCCTAGAGTGTTGCTTTAAATAAACGTCCTTTTACCTAGCCAGGGCAAGGAGTAGATGATGCTCGCTTATAACTTTTGCAAGTGTAGACGTGGGGATTCTGTAGCTACTCAAAACATAACACTACTCTGCAGTGCGCGTTTGATATTTCTCCAAAATGTCCAACAACAATACATTTGACGACCAAGGGGGGCACTCGGTGGCCTAACCTCACAGCGCAGACAACTATTTTCCCGGGACGCAAATCATCGTCCATCCGGTGAGCATAACCGGGAATCAAACGGTGGTGGGGCCGTGTGCGCTAAGCCACGAGTCGTGGCGGCGTTCCGCCACGAGGTCACGTGTCAAGCTTCCGAACGCCTCTCGCGCTGAGCCGACGTTCGGTGCAGACCCATACCCTTGCCCGCAGGGGAACGCCAAACGCACTGTGCCCATATCCCCCAAGAGTTTTGCTACGTTCAAACAAATGGCGACAGTGGTGGCGGTCTACATTTCTGGCTGCAGTGGGGGGGTTACGCGTGCGATGCAGAGAGCGGTGAAGGATTCTGTCCAGCTTGCGTAACGATGTCTTATATTTGGGTCCCGTAGATTCTTTATTCCATTTAGCATGGGTGTCTAACAATGTACCCGTCCCCGCTGGCGATCGGTTAAGATGAATTGTCTTGCCCCAAGAGTTGGGATTTTATTCAGGAATACATTTTTAAGCGTACACTGTAGTGAATGAGGCTGTCAATAGTGGCTGAAGGGGGTCATGTGAGCCCACAAGATGCAGGAATTGAAAATAGAAATTCTTACACACATACGATTTGACGCATGCATCATAATCCGAAGAATTGACATCGATTGATAAACTGATGTTTCATGTCTCATTAACTATTTTACTATCTTTATTGTACAAGATAAGGCCCAATGATCTATGTTGCTCTTTTTCAGATGTGACCCGGCCAAAAATGATAGCTCAACAAAGTGTCCTATCATCGGGAAATGGATAGCAGACAAATACTCTAAACGCATGTTTATAAATGTGGAGAAAGATTCATGCGAGCACGAGGAGAACATGCAAGCTCCAAATGTATAGGCGTCAGGGTCGGGATCAAACCCACGTCCTGCTGCATACCAGGCGAGGTAGTTAACATCTCGCCACCGTGATCCAAGCATCAACGCAAAATACATTCATTAGCAATTCTCCCAACCTCTACCCCTCCCCCAGCAAATTGATGAATTGCCATCATTTGATTCAAGAATCGACAGATTGTTAAATTTTTACTTCCTCGTTTGCATTGTTTTTCATTTGTTCCGTCTCATTTGGAGAGTTTAGTTTGCTCCATTAGCCGAGCATTAGCCTATCAATGTCATGCAATTTTCACGCATCAAAGAAACCGAAAATAATTAAAGCATCGTTACAACCCCTACATTTTCAGCTGTATATAATTAAATCACTACTCTCAGCTCCATACACACGCCACCGCTGACTGCAACATTCAACATCTGCACCACTCTCGCTATGTGCCCGAGTAAAAAATATACAGGTCCAATTATATAATTGTGTTGTCAACTATGTCACATTGGAAGGTGATTACAATTCTATCAGGGACTGCCACAGAGAGCAACGTGACATCAGGTCGTGTCAGAAAGACCCAGAAAGAGGACTTCACAGAACTACTTTTGAAGTCAATCTGACGCTGGACCACATTCATTCGTGTTACGTTAAAGAGTATTCGCTGCTAGAGGTGGCCGGGCGACACAGGTTAGAGCACAGAGCCGGCACTGCTAAGATTCTGGGTTGGAATCCTGGTTGAATACTCTTAGTTCTTTCGGTAAAGTCACGTAGGTAAAAAATGGAATAAACATTAATAAAAATAAAATAATAAAATCACGACGTTTCGAAACGTCGTGATTTTATTATTTTATTTTTATTCAATCACGACGTTTCGAAACGTCGTGATTTTATTATTTTATTTTAATTTTTATTAATGTTAATTTCATTTTTTACCTACGTGACTTTACCGAAAGAACTAAGAGTATGAATCCTTGCAGTCACGAAAGCTTCAAATCTAGAATTAATATCCTGGTTGAAGCGACCTATGATTGAAACTGGGTTCTCAAGTGTAGCAAGTTGATGATCTCGGCCCGACTGGCAATGACTGGTAAAAAAGAAAAAACATCATTAAATGTGGTTCTACACTCAATTTATATCAATTACAGCTCGAAAGAGATTTAAACATTTCAGTGATGTAAAGGTATTCTTGGTTCTTTCGGTAAAGTCACGTAGAATGGAAATAATAAAATAATAAAAATATAAAACAATAAAATTCTCACGACGTTTCGACTGCAACACAAGCAATCATCATCAGGTGACTTTACCGAAAGAACCAAGAATAAGAATCCCTGCAGTCACGAAAGCTTTAAATCAAAATTTGATGTAAAGGTGTTTAAATCGTGTGCATAAAGGTGCTTATTTGAAGCCACTTCAGAAGCAGTTACGTGACGTCAACTTCTGGGGGAAGTTATCTCGCACAAGGCGATTCAGTGCTCGCTGCAGAGCTCCGAATTAGTCTCATTCTGTGATACCGAAAGCAAACTCAGCGTAAAATCGAGGGTGAGGAAAAAAAAATTAACGAGTATTCGCTGCGTGTCAATCAATTGAAACTTGTAGTCCTCTGTGCCGAAATACATTTATAAAAAAAAACATTTAGCATTCGTAATTAATTTCAACAAACATTTAGTAGGTTGGGTCCTTGTGCAGCCATTGGTCGCGGGACGAAGCCCAGCAATCCACTGGAATTTTGAAGGCCGGTTTAATCCTCGTTGTATACAACCCCGGGTTCCGAACCCGGCATCTCGGCAGCGTGCGCGCTCAGTGCTTTGACACACCCGTTATGACCCCCCCCCCCACCCCCCGAGCCACATCACCGCCTGTCCAAATCTAGCGAAACTCTAGAGCCACGCTGGGAGGCGGGCGTCAAACAATCCCACACAAAAGCAGACCCCCTTTTGGGGGCCGCGCGACGACACCGAACATCGACGACAACACGAGGAGGCGTTCCCTCGTGGGGGGCTGTGTGGCATCCTTGCATTTGTGATCGAGTATCTTTTGTGTCACTGATGATGAAAAAAAACGATTTGTCTTACTTGGTGTCTTGACCCCCTCCCTCCGCGATTGACCCGAAGGGGTTTAAACTGTAACGTGACAACAAGTGATGGCACATGAAATAATCCGATTAGATGAACTTATCTTTTGGAGGGGGGACAAAAATAGAGTATTAATATTTATATAAATATAATAATAAAAAATATATCGTAGCATGCAAAGAGGTAGCAATTATAATTTATTTATCCAGAAAGGCTCGAGTGTAAGCTCTTTTTTCAGGTGGCTCCTGCAGTCTGGATATTTGACCAATTTCGACTTTTGCGTTTTTCACGCCACATGGGAGTAAGGTGGTGAGTCCCTGGTCGGAAAAGAAAATAAAACTCTCGCCAAGCATATGAGGCGATAACATGCAAGCAACATATGCAGTACACATAGGTAAGGGACATACTTGCTGTACTGCCATCTAGGTATGGGGGTCACCTCTTAATCCCACAGGTGGTTTGACCCGCACACACGATTATCAACCCGACCTAATAAAGACATCGAGCAGTGCGAGTGCCGTCATCACCAAGTTAGGCGTTTTACCTCTCTCCAAATATTTATCCGAAGCATTTAAAATTCTCACCAAGCTAGTCCGGGTGTCTGGGCAAGATAGTGTAAAAGGGATACGGGGTATTTATTAAAAGATTAATAGATTTTTCTTTTTCGATAAGTATGGGTCTTTTACATTTTTTGAGAGGTTCACAATGAGTTATGTCACTGGTCAAGCATCCCCCCCCCCGCCCCTCCCCTGTCAAATGAGTGTGGGCTATTCTCTGTTGGTGGCCCTAAGCCAACTACGGAAATTCCACATTCCTCTGGCGATACAAATTGTCCACGATGACAGCATGGGCAGGAAAGCTGACAGCAGTTGTAATCATCGTGATAACAGTCATTCATTTACCTAAGAGGGACGACGTCTTGTGACTGGGATGTTTGGCCAAATTTTTTAAACACTTTCTCGCAAGCCAATAAAGTTGTATGTTTCGCGACCTAATCATGATTTTATACAACCTCAGGTTACCGTGACGAAGCTTGACTTCACGATGTAAAATTCTACTTTAAATTACATTATTTAAACTGAAGAACAAATAACAGTTCTGAAAACAAGATTTTGTTTAAGAGCAATGGCAGCTGGAGACATACACCTACTCTGCAGGCATCGACACTTTCAACAGCAGTCATAGCAGCTCTACGCAAATAATCCTACTTTGCCGCCAATGCTCAACAAACGATTTGGCAGGAGCGTATATGCAAGTTTTGAAAAACAAGAGACGGACGGGAATTTGAGGTCAATGGCGAGGCAACCAACTTGGCACAAAAGCTCGATTCTAGAAAGCACAATTTTAGTGGTCCACACGAAAACTGTCAAAATGCACTTCGGAAAGCAGCACAACACACAGCGAGTAGACTCTCAATTAACCGCATCAACTGCAGGAAGTGGAAAGTTTCGCGGAGAGGCAAGCTTTCGCGGATTTGTCCTACAATTCGAGGGCATGAGTACTCAACTCCTCCTCGCGGGGTGGGCTCTGGACACATTTACCGCTCATCAGGCTAGCGTCATGTGCGATGATGACTTCATGTGCACTCGAAAGGAAAAGCGACTGCTATAATTAAAAACCTGGATAGTGGAAAGGAGCGATGCACCGAACGGAATTTGGAAACAGCTCCAGCAGCACAAAGGAGGCTCAGTGATTGACCACTGTCGACAGGGGACTAAGTGTGGACTGAGGAAGATGGCTTGGGGAGAGAACGGAGGGGAATGTGAAGGGGCAGCAGGAGGGTGGTGGTGGGGGTGGTGGGGATGAAGAGGGAGTGTGTGAGGATGAAGAGGGAGTGAGTGGGGATGAGGAGGGAGTGTGTAGGGATGAAGAGAGAGGGGGGTGGTGGACATGGAGAGGGAATACATGATGATGAGGGTGGGGAAGTTCAGGAATCTAGATGGACTTAAAAGGGTTGGTACTCAGTACCTTGCCTTGTCAAAAACAAATGCATGGGCATGCCCCGCAACTAAAACCACACGCGCGTGCTTAGCAGTGCGTGAAAATTATCACGCGCGTGCAGTTAAATTAACCCCAGTGGTTAATTTACAGTCTACTGCAATCTGAAAGGACAGTACAACACCTAAGGGTCATACACAATACTGATTCATATGAGCGTATAATGATTCACCCCTTACACCCCCCCCCAGCCCCTCAACAGTGATCCAATGAGTTGTCGGGATTCAAGATTGATTGCATCCTGTTTTTGTGTGTTATGTGCTACAACTCGATTGTTGTCTTTTTGCATATATGGATTTATAGACCCAGGATTCGTAGGCGCAATTTGAAAAGTACATCGTGAGCAAAAATCGATGATAAGAGATGAGTCGTTTGCGTGCCAATTAGCAACGTAACTAAAAGCATGTCGACAAAAAAACATGTTAGCGAGTAAGTTGCAATGGCCCCAACACAGAGATGAGATATCCATTTTTCCTCTCATCTTCTTTTACCCTATTTTATCTCGATTGTGCAATCAGCATCATGCTACGAGATGGAGAATCCATTCAAAAAAATGTAAACACAGCAGCTAAATATTTATTGTGAGACAATGGCCCGCGGAAGCAGATACCGAAGAACTGCTTCTGAGATCCCTTCAAGAGTTGACCAAACTTGATTAGGGTTAAATTTCGATTTAAAGCTTTCGTGACTGCAGGGATTCATCTTCTTGGTTCTTTCGGTAAAGTCACGTAGAAGGGAAGTAATAAAATAATAAAAATTAAACATAATAAAATAATTCTCACGAAGTTTCGAGGCGACAGACCTGGTTTTCACCTGAGGACGGCTGCTTGCGTTGTGGCCGAAACGTCGTGAGAATTATTTTATTATGTTTTATTTTTATTATTTTATTACTTCCCTTCTACGTGACTTTACCGAAAGAACCAAGAAGAGGTTGATTAGGGTTGCTGCACTTTTTTAGTTGAACGTTTGAGTAACAAAGGCAGGACTTGGTATGGTACAAGGCAGCCCACGTGACTTTATCGTCCAATCAGAATCGAGCATGTCACGACTACAACTTTAACCGTGACCCCTACCAACTGGGACAACCGCCACCCCATCGCCGTTTCGGATTTCCCGACAGCGAGTGCCGAAATGACATTAATAAGTCGTGTAATGGAGAGGATAGGGCAGATACGATTAAGGCGTTATCGAATTTGCAAGCAAAATAAACTCAGATGATGCCAAGGACTCTCGCTCGGAGAAAAAAAAAGCTACGTTTGCTATTGCCTTGAAAAAGGAGGATTTCGGGTTGGGGGGAGAATGGCGGTGATGGTGATCGTAGCCATGTGCCCGGGAGGCAAACAGGTCAGGGGAACAGAGAGGAGATGGGGAAGATACGGGGAGGCAAATGGTAGATGAGTGGAGGTGAAGATAAGGAGACAAACGGTGGATAATGGGAGACAGTGCGCAGGTAAAGTGGAGATGCGGGGACACAAAAGGGGCATGAATGAGGAGATACAAAGCAGGGGTGGGATGAGGAAGACGACTAAAACTATTTTCTATTTTACCAGGGTAAGGCCCACTGAGCTGTCGCACTCTTTTTCAGAAGCGACCTGGCTACAAACGATAGCTCAACGAAGCGGCTCATCTTCATCACGTGGAAATTTATAGCAGCCAAATATTCTAAAACGCGTGATGTTGATTCTAAATGTGGAGGGAAAGAATAGAAAAACCGCAGAAAATTCCACGCGACGACAGGGAGAACATGGAAACTCCAAATATACAGGCGTCAGGTTCAGGGTCGAACCTACGACCTCCTGCATACCAGGTGAGGGAGTTAACATCTCGCCACCGTGGTGGACAAAGGGGAAAAACGAAGACACGGGGCAGAGAAGGCGTAGGGAATGGGAAAAGCGGTGAGGGGGAGATGATGGAAAACCATGGAAAGTGTTGAGTGGACGGGACTTAAGCAAGAGGCAAACGGGGAGTACGGAAAAATCAACCTCGTAAAAATTAAAAAATAATTCGCATTTGACTTGTGATCATTCCATTAAGATTGCGATATATGTAGGGAACACGTGTCTGCAATTACTACATAGGTGCCGAGCATGGTAAATTTCGTTTTTGCACCTTGGTAAAAAATGTTTTTTAGAGTCAATGCCACCAAGTCCTGTGGGCGGTGGCACCGACGTAGAAGGAACGGTCTTACCTCGATGGCTACGTAAGGCACGAAAAGAAGTTCAACATTCGTACAATGGCAACCTACTCTGCTGCATTTGCAAGAGGCAGAAGGTGTGAGATGAGGAGAGATGGGCGGCGGGGCGCCGCTAGTGCACTCACTTGTACGTCTTGCCGTCCTTGGGCTGGTCGGAGCCCGACGCGAGGATGGGGTAGGGCACGACGAGCACCGGCTGCCCGCCACCGTCCAGCGCCGCCTTTTTCCTGCGGCCACGCTCTCCGCGCTTGCCCACGGTGCCCACGCCGGACATGCCCTCCAGCACCTGGTGCGCCGACGTCAGGCCTGCGAGGCCGCATACGCTCTCAAGTCACTCGTTTACTCACCCACTCGCGCACTCGCACACTCGCTTACTCGCTCACCCACTCGCACACTCGCACACTCGCTCGCACCCACTCACTCACGCACCCACTCACTCACTCGCGCACCCACTCACTCACTCGCGCACCCACTCACTCACTCGCGCACTCGCACACTCGCTTACTCGCTCACTCACTCGCACACTCGCCCACTCGCTTACTCGCTCACCCACTCGCACACTCGCTCACCCACTCGCACACTCGCTCACCCACTCGCTTACTCGCTCACCCACTCACGCACTCGCACACTCGCCCGCTCGCTCGCGCACCCACTCACTCACGCACCCACTCACTCACTCGCGCACCCACTCACTCACTCGCGCACCCACTCGCCCGCTCGCTTACTCGCTCACTCACTCGCACACTCGCCCACTCGCTTACTCGCTCACCCACTCGCACACTCGCCCACTCGCTTACTCGCTCACCCACTCGCACACTCGCTCACCCACTCGCTTACTCGCTCACCCACTCACGCACTCGCACACTCGCCCGCTCGCTCGCGCACCCACTCACTCGCGCACCCACTCACTCACTCGCGCACCCACTCACTCACTCGCGCACCCACTCGCCCACTCACTCGCGCACCCACCCACACGCTCACTCATGGACTCACGCACCCACCCTCTGACTCACTCACTCTCACACTGTATGTATGTGTGTTGAACTTCTTACTCGCTCACCCACTCACGCACTCGCACACTCGCCCGCTCGCTCGCGCACTCACTCACTCGCGCACCCACTCACTCACTCGCGCACCCACTCACTCACTCGCGCACCCACTCGCCCGCTCGCTTACTCGCTCACTCACTCGCGCACCCACCCACACGCTCACTCATGGACTCACGCACCCACCCTCTGACTCACTCACTCTCACACTGTATGTATGTGTGTTGAACTTCTTAATCGCTCACCCACTCACGCACTCGCACACTCGCCCGCTCGCTCGCGCACCCACTCACTCGCGCACCCACTCACTCACTCGCGCACCCACTCACTCACTCGCGCACCCACTCGCCCGCTCGCTTACTCGCTCACTCACTCGCGCACCCACCCACTCGCTTACTCGCTCACCCCGCTCGCACACTCGCCCACTCGCTACTCGCTCACCACTCGCACACTCGCTCACCCACTCGCTTACTCGCTCACCCACTCACGCACTCGCACACTCGCCCGCTCGCTCGCGCACCCACTCACTCGCGCACCCACTCACTCACTCGCGCACCCACTCACTCACTCGCGCACCCACTCGCCCACTCACTCGCGCACCCACCCACACGCTCACTCATGGACTCACGCACCCACCCTCTGACTCACTCACTCTCACACTGTATGTATGTGTGTTGAACTTCTTTCGCACCGTACGTAGCCAACCGTGCTCATCGAAGGTGGGGGGAGGGGGAAGAACACCAAACTTAACACAAAAAGCAGTTCTAAAGAAATTCGTTTTCACTCACTCATTCGCTCACTCACCCACTTGTTCACTCACTCGCCAACTCATCCACTCACTCCCCAACTCATCCACTCGCTCACTCACTTACTCGTACATACATGCTCAAGGCATGTGTGAGCCTGTGCTTTCAAAAGGTAAGTAAATTTTACCCGTCCTCTCAATTCAACGAACATCCATGAACACTCACTCACCCTTAAGTATGTACGTATATGCTTATTCATGTGGGATGAGAGCTTGTGGGGAGCGGTGGGACAGCGGTTGGCGCACGGAATCATGAACCCAGTGACCCGAGATCGATTTCCAGCCACGGATAATATCAGCGGCGAGTAATATCTGAACCGCTAATGAGGCACCCATCACCTTCACCAACAGAGCACTGACCGCAGTGTGGTGAAGTATATCCATGCAACCACCACGACCGACACAACGTGGGGAGGCCTTCATCCAGCAGTGGACTGACAAAAAGCTGTGTGAATTACTAATCTTCCAAGCAGTCACGGGGTTAATGGACACTGCCCCACAGCTGATCTATAAAATATCTACACCCGGCAACGGGAGCAACAGTATTGTAAACACGTCATCTAATGTGTTGTTTATTATCTATCTTTCAGTCAGGTGTGGTGCCGAGCCGGGAATAGATAAACTTGCATTCAGGGAGGTGTAAAGACCAATTCTGGAGAGAGTTATACTGGTAGGAACCTCCTGGTTACACCAGCCCACAGGGGATTATTGTGTCCATCCGTCGTGCATCCAGAAATGGGAGGGATGGAGCTGAGTGGAGAGGGGAGGGTGGGGAGGGGCTGGGTGGGAAGGGTGGGGAGGGGCTGATCACACCGTGGTGCCCTTATAAAACTCAACGTTTAACCTACTCACGCCGGCTTGTGCCCGCCCTCACAGTCGGGCATATTTGCGGAATACACCACGCTGCCGTTGACCCTGGCCATTGACCGAGCAACCCAACGTTCCTACCAGCTCCCTCCGCAGGAATGTGTTTGATGCAATTATTGGCTACTCAGTGGCTGAAGTACCAACTGGGCCCGATTGGCAGCGCATGCAAAAGGAGCCAGTCTCTTGAGACGGCGAGTGAAGCTTCACACTCTGGTGGAGAGAGCCTGTGTTTGCAAGGGGCTTGGTTGGGGGGGGGGGGGGGCCTGGTGAGCAGCAGACATGAACGGGAGCGAGGTGAGAGCGCGGGAGCAGAAGGGTGCGGCTCAGACACTTCCCAGGGCCTGCCTTGGCGTGCCCTTCTACACAAGAGGTTTGCTCTGGGAGGAAGCGAGACGAGTCTTGCCGCGGTGCAGCATTGGGGCTGCACGAGCGGTCGCGCGCGTGCCTTGTGGAGCGTCAACGCGTCGTGAATATGCGACGCACTGAGCATTCGTGAGCGCCTCGAGTTGCGCAAGCTCCGACACGTGGTAGAAGGATGAACGCGACAAGTGGCGCGAGTGAAAGCGTGCGAGATCGCGTGGGGTTGGGTGCACCTGGCCTGGCACAGGTACCGGGGTGACATCACTTAGTGGCGAATGGCGGGTATTGCTATTGGTTTTAGGGTTGGGTTAATTTTACCTTGGTACGGGTTGTCTAGATACTCTCCCCCTACTAGTGAAGCGGGATATTACAGGTAGGAACAACAGTTCCACACTGCCCACCAGGGATTATTTGTCTGTCTGACTTTCTGTCGTGCATAGCCACGCCCTCGATTTGTATTTCATAGAGCGCTTCTGGCGGGCTCAGCACCACGTGACGCGCCGCCCCACGCAGCTTGCGCCGCGTGACACGGATCGCACGAATGCGCTGTCAAACCAAGTTCCTACCTGCCCACTCCGAAGGAACGTGTTTCTCTGGGTTGAGTGATATTAAACACAAATCAGACCCCGGTCCTGTCTCGCTCAAGAGATCTTGACGTGGCATTCACTCCCACACGAAGCCCAAGGTCCATGCCCTGATTGATATTCTACAGTAGAACCCTCAAAAAGGCCCGGGTTCTCAAACTTGAGCCCGCCGTGAGACAACAAAGGTTCGATGTTGCTGTTACGTGCGAGCGCACGTTGTCGCTACCCTGGTGTTGAGCATCGTAAATTTGATTTTGCACCTTGGTAACAGCGAGTTTTTTTGAGTCAATGCCACCAAGTCCTGTGGATGGTGGCACCGACAAAGAAGGAACGGTCTTACCTCGTTGCTCACGTATGGTGCACGAAACAAGGTCAACCTATCTTCTTGGTTCTTTCGGTAAAGTCACGTAGAATGGAAATAATAAAATAAAACATAATAAAATAATTCTCACGACGTTTCGGCCACAATGCAAGCAGCCGTCCTCAGGTGAAGGACAGGTCTGTCGGGAAGACAGCGTCACCTGAGGACGGCTGCTTGCGTTGTGGCCGAAACGTCGTGAGAATTATTTTATTATGTTTAATTTTATTATTTTATTCTTTCCATTCTACGTGACTTTACCAAAAGAACCAAGAAGATGAATCCCTGCAGTCACGAAAGCTTTAAATCGAAAGGTCAACCTACTTTGCTGCATTAGACCGGGCCCTCACCTGGCATCATGGGCAGGGGGCTGCCCGCTGTGTCCACGCGGCCCTGGTTGCCACCGCCACCCCCTCCGGCCGAAGACACCATTCCCCGAGCCATGCCCACCTGGCCTTCCATGCCCCCTGGTGACGGGCAGCCCATGTCACCTGCAACAGCACGGCGGCAGCACGTGACACGATTAGCAGTGGGCATCGACAACACAACGGGTCATGAGACTTGAGCGCGAGGCAGGAGACGAGACCAACACTCGTCGATGTAACAAATCGGCTAATCTGCAAGTGCAGTCACTTAAGCATCTTTTTCAAGGAATGAGGTTAAATGAAAGCTTACGAGCTTATGAATATGTAGTTCATCGTCAGTGGTGCTCAAGTTTTAACATTTTGGAGGGGGTGCAAATTTTTTCCTACCAGGGGACCTAAGTCAGACATTTATTTTCCTAACCGTTTTTTATTTCGGACAAAACACCCAGTGGGGAATTACTTGTGTTATGAATCCAATATTGCGAATAATTTAGCCATTCATACACACATTTAATGCTGACAATTGTTACAATTATGACTAATGGCCATCGAAAGAATAAAAGGGAGGGAGGGGCCCAATAGACCCTTTGTCCCCCTCTCCCTAGCGCTAACCCTAAACCCTAACCCTCACACTAACCATAGCAGCAGCAAGACCCGGATCCGTGTCCCCGCAATCCACCAGCCTCCCGCACCATCCCCCCAGCCCCCTCCCCCTCCCTACCCTCCACGGCTGTGGCGTAGGGCTTGGGAAAGCGATCTTAAAAAAAAATCGTTTTAAATTGTTTTAATGCAGATTTGGTTTTGGTTAGGCCATCGCCACGTTAAAAAGTCTATTACACGTTTATAATCTTCAACCGCGGTTCAATTGCGTTTATATTTTTTTAATATCACGCACACCTGCAGTTGAACTGAGCGACGGATGTCATGGACCTCGCACATCCCAATAATTAACGCGCAAATTCTTTCTTTTTGGGGGCAGCCTCAGGGCGAAAACGCGTGGGGCTCCCTCGCAAAGAGGGATCTCGCAGACTCCGCTACCCCAGTAGGCCCCCCTTGGTGTTGGCTAGGTCCAGCAGGGCTACCAGAGGAAACAGGGGCAGAGCTGGCAAGCCAAAGTCAGATCCAAGCTGGCAGGCTTGCCAGTGGTCATGAAAACGTAGCTAAAGTGTCTCCCAGCTCACGTGAGCATGGCATTTTTTTCCCCTCATCATCGCTCGTTTACCCATTAAAGCCTCGCTGGGTCTCGTAAAATTTTCAGGAGGGTCCTGACAGGTTTTCGCAGTAGGGGGCAATGATTGTCATGTATAATCCCATTTAAGTAATCTACTTCACCCTCGCAATTTAAGCGGTAGGATTCCAATTTTTCTTTAATAAGTTTTTTTTAACAGCAAAGCGAATTGCAAAGATAATCATAGCACGCGATAAAAGGGTTTGAATATTGGAAGCAGCCTGCCGCTTAAATCTAATGGGTCAGGAAGTACGACATGGGGCGGTGGTGCTGGTCTCGATTGGCGGCCCAACTGATGGTGAAAATTCCACATTGCTATGGTGAGGCCTAGTTTTCCCATGAGGTGATCACCGTTTGACTTCCCACAAAGTGTCACTCGTTTGGTCAACCCCTGTAAAGAGAAGTTGGCCTCAATTTACGTACTTCACCTCGGCTGGGAATTCGACTCGTGGCTTTTCAATTGCAAGTTCAGTTTATTTAACCACAGTGCAACCCGGCCAGAGCATACCCTTATATATACACTATAAATAAATAGACGTGTGAATTAAGCATTCCCCCCCCAAAATTTTTATAACGATCAATCAAATCTGGAGCTGGGAGAAAGTCGATTAAACAACTAAATATAATAACCGACGACCACGACTTCGGTGGTCAACTACGCAGGCTCCTTTAAGAGAGGCGGCTGCCCTAACAAACCAGTCAGGTTGACTGTGCCGTAAACCTAGCCGTGCCCACCACCTCCCACCCAGCGGCACACACGGGGAGAACAAAGGTCGAAACCTTTTTTTCCTACCCCCCTTCCCCCCCAACTGCATTCGCTGAGTGGTCAAACCAATAAATCGGTAAACGATTACTCGATCGGGAAAAAAAACAACTCGCCCAGCTCCTGCCAAGAATCACAACTGGTGGATACACGCATGAGATCATCTCAATCTACAAGCGATCCACCAATCTCTGCTTCCTAGCCCCTTGCCCAGACCACCTGAACCACTTTCACAACACTCCCCCTCTCTCCCCTCACCCATAGTGCTTGGTGGACGGGCGTGCAGTGCCACATTGGGCTTCCCAGAGCCATGCTGGGCCTCATGCTGCTGCTGTTGCTGCTGCTGTTGCTGCTGCTGTTGTTGTTGCTGCTGCTGCTGCTGTTGGGACAGCTGCTGCTGACTTAGGTTGGGGGTGGAGGGCGAGTGTTGGGAGAGTGGCGGCGGTGGCAACGGCTGCCCGAGTGGCTGGTGCGACTGGTGCCTGATCTTCTCCGCCATCAGCTGCTCCTTGATTTTGTTGATCAGGACGAGGTTGTCGATCTGACGAGCGCAAGAGAAAGGTTCACGTCAACGGAAAAACACAAACAGGCGCGCGCACGCACGCAAGCACGCGTGTCAAACGATAACAAGGAGAGCGCGCGCCTCTCACAACTGTAGACAACGCTTAAGATAGGGGGGGGGGGGGGTGGATCACAGAACGATAATTATCGATGTGGATTTGTGAAACTCCAAAATCTGCTGGGCTGCAAGGTGGGCCAGTGATCGCAGCACAGCAGGTGGGTTTGTGAACCCATCTGTGTCGATCTTTTGAGCGTTAACTTATCAAGTCGCGCAATGTTTTGTCCGGGTACTCCGGTGTGTCCCCTCGCATGCGCGGTGGGAGTTTCGTCCCGAGTACTGCGGCTTCTTCCCACGTGCAAAACCGTTGCTTTTGAAAAGAAATTGGCCAAACAGCCCAATGCAGAACCCTCCAGTCAAAAAACAAACGACCCATTGGGACTTAGAAAAGCTTAAGCGGATGCCCATTACGTCAGCTCCAAGAGGCTGCACGACTTGATCTCGGCTTCATGCCCCTGTTGCTACAATCCGCCATGTTCAATGTGCGTGTCTCACTGCTGCCATCTACCTACATTTAGAGAAACACGCAGGAGAGTGGGCAGAGTTCAAAATTGCCTCCAGCTCGGTTTTGTGACCGCACCCGTGCAACGTTTAATATAAAATACCATCGGCGGCAGTTGCGTCTTGTGTTGGGGACCTGCACTTATCGCGTCCAGGAACGTAACAATTCGCTGCCCCTGCGGTTCGATGAATTTGCACCGGTCGGGATCACGGCTTGAGAATGGATTGCTCGCTCCTCGTTCGTTCTGTGAGCCGAACGGTGAAATTTGCGCAAGTCATAGGGGGCGCATCCCTAGCACAGCACGATTTCTATGCATGCATCGTGAACGTGAGGAAATTATCTTAAAATCGCCGAGCTATTAAAATGCTTCAAAGGCGTCCGTTACTCCGTCGTGGAAACTATGCAATGAGATTAATAGGCAACCGGTTCAACCCAACAATTGTGCAACTACAAATCATTTGTCTGGAGCAACTAACTACACAGTCATGTTGACAACGGCACAGTGACCTAGTTGTCTGGATGGCGGCTCAGAGGGCTAGTACAACATCTCAGCACCGAGCAGGGGCGCTGCTGATATCCCGAGTTAAACTTTGGGGATTCAGCTGCCTGTAATTAAACCGTGTTCTCGGGTGCAGTGAGGTGATGATCGCAGCCTGGTTACCAATGACTGAACAAAACAAACATCAAATTAAAGGAGTTTTTTTCACCGTATTTGCCCGATTCCGGCATAAAATACGGAAAAACAATCAGTTTGTCTGTCACGTCATAAAACATACTTTTGCAGGGCATGTGAAATGAGTTTATAAATCAGCGCCCCTCGCACTGCCAGAGTTTCAAATGACCGTCGTCTTTGTCTCACCACATGATGCGGATAGCACAAGACAAAATGTAATTTGAGGGACAGAAAAAAAGGGGGATCGAGTGATGGACAGGACATATATGAGAGTTGAACGAAGTGGCTTATCAAGTGGAAATTTATAGCAGCCAATTACTCTGAACGCATATTGATTCTAAATGTGGAGCGAAAAACTGGAGGAGAAAAATCCACGCGACCACGGGGAGAGGGACACGCAAACTCCAAATATACAGCAGGTGTCAGGGTCGGGATCAAACCCATGACCTTATGCATACCAGGCAAGGTAGTTAACATCTCCTAGCCACTGTGAACTGTGCACTGGACTTGATGGTAATTGAATGCTGATAAGCGTGAGAAAACTTTACGTGGCCGGGTGGGTCAGAGGTCAGAGCACTGCTGGCACTGCTGAGATAATAGGTTCAAATCTAAACGCCATCCTGTGATTGAACTGGAATCGAGTGTAGCAAGTTGGCAGTCTAATCTTATCCACCAATGACCGCACAAAAAAAATCATCGTCATGATTGGGGATGGGCGGGTTGGAGTCTCCATTTCTTTCAAGAATCAATTGTTTTTATTTTGTCACTACAGTGCAATGTGTACCCCTCATTTGCGCGGCATGTACTACTGTGCGTGTCTTGTTCGTTCGTTCTCATTTGTACCATTAGCCCGATGGAAACAATTGCAAAAAGATTCGTGAACGGGACAATTATTATCATCATCGCTTTACACACACACAATTCGCTACACACAGGGTTGAGCCTGGGACAGTGTGTAGATGGGCCATCTTTGTGCAGAGAACATGCATTCCTCCTCCAGTATAAATATTCTCATTCTGATTGTATGTTGCAGTGGGGCTACGTAGTCAGCAGTCGGCGGTATAGCTAAATACAGTGCATTGCAGTACTGTACTATGCTCCAATGTCTACGAAGCCCCCCCCCACCCCGCTGCCTTTCGCCAACCCGAACTGACCAGCGTGGTGAAGAACGGTAAAATATCCACTACAACCCGCAAAAGCGTGGGGGAATCCCCTTACCCAGCAGTGAATTAACACGTGCGCGATTAAAGCACGTGCCGCAAGCGTGTCAACAAACTCATGGGCAACTAGTTTTTACGCGCCAAGATTTTTCCTCGAGAACCTGAATTTAATTGATGCCGCCTCCAAAAGGTGGTGCCCCTCTTGTGTCGTCCGTGAAGCAATGTCCAATTCATCCAAATCCAGTGTGGAAAATCACCCAAGGCGGTTCCAGCTCACCTTGACACCCCTCTATTCTTTGTGGTGTTGTTGTTGTTGTCGTCGTCGTCGCCCTTAACCAGCAGAGGATTAACGCAATATCTGTATGCATGCTCCATTAAATGTACGCACCCGTATGCATATGAACCACTTGTAATAATGAGTTGAATTTTTGGGGGGAATTTTTATTAATCCAATTACATGACTGTGGGCATCGAATAATGAGAAGGAACGCCCACCGAGAAAGGCTCATCTCAGGCAGATTTCCCCCGCAGAACGACTCGTGAAACCAGCAGGCCGATGTTGTAACCCCCAGGCTGCGACCCTGTACACTCCCGAAAGGTGTTCGCCTGGCAAGTGAACTTGAGCGGCGGGACCACAGATAGGGAAACCTTGGGAATCGAATGAGCGAAACGTATCGCGAAAGGTTTCACTGTGCAGTCATTTATTGCCGACCAGGGCTGAAACAACATTGACTCGCTGCACTTGCGGATTTGCACATCGAGAGGTGGGGCAGGGGGGGGGCCGCGCCGGAAGAACGACGGCAGGAAGTTGCGCGAAGACGAAAAGTATCCGCGTGTCGTCAAACAAACAAAAAAAATTATTCTGTTCAGTTGTGTACCGTGCAGACAACACAAAACAAGCGCACGCAAGTAAATAAAAAAAACTTTTTGTTTGTTGCCGATGCCCTACCTGATTGGTCATGGTCGGTGGATGAGGCCAGAAATAAGGGCTATTAAACCGCGGTTCTGCCATTCTGATGGTAAACACACAAAACATGCAGGTTAGCCACGCAAAACACTCACATTTTAATGCAACACAAAGCATCGAAACGAACGCAAATAAGCGAAAACAATATCGTACAGCAGCAGGGTTCGTTCACTTTCAAAGAAGTGGGTAGTGCAAAAAACAAAACAAGCTTGATACGGGTTTTTTTTCCCCGAGATTCGTGGTGAAAATTAAATCTTCAATCAGTAAACCCACAGCATGCAGCAAGGTGGCAACGCAGAGCAAAAAAATATTGCATCCTGAAAGGCTTTCTATATTGCTCATTTCCTGCTCATCCGCTAACATCACATTGGTCATTTGCAAGACGATACACTTGGCAGACTAACAGCGCGAATAACTTAAACCTTACATTGGTATTTTTGCAAGTCAATTGTACACGGCAAACAAACAGCATTAATACATTAATGGATTAACAGAATTTGCTTTCTCAAACACGTGGAATAATGCTTGATCCATCCACCACTGTGCCTTCAGAGTCAGTTTTATCACAGCGGTTTGCTTAAACAGAAAATCTGCATTGGTTTTCACATCACCGAGTCTCACAAGTGTAATATGAGCCTATATCCGGCTCACTGACGTATCACAACTCGTCATGGTGATTGGCTCTGCTGGTCCTGGTTTACAGCCAATGGGGGGAAGCCTGGGGGTGTGGCCCTGACGTGATGGAGAGGTGACAGCTATAAGGATTGGTTCTGCTGGCTTTGGCCTCAGCCAATGGGGAGATGAGTCAGGGGCGTGGTCCCGGGAACTGACGAGGGAGCCTGGAAGATTCGATGCAGGCTAACGAGGATTGGCTGAAGCGTACCACGTGACCCGGGTATTAAATAGGGGTAGAGAAGAACGACACGTGGTCAGAACAAGAACGAAGGAAGGAAGGGGCCACGCGTGAGCGGGGCTCCGAGTTGCCACGTGGCCGTGCATCTCTCTCGGTCCATCTGTCCACTTCACGTTGCCTATCAGCAACGGGAAGTAATTGTACCCTAAGTAAATAAAAAGACGGATTCCAGAAGTCGTCTCCAAGACTGTTATTACACAAGCAATACAATGGCCTAAAATAGTGGGCGACAGCCATCTACTACTCTGCAACTCGAGGTACGAAATTTCAACACAATTGGTCACGCATGTCTCTTGGCCACCGCATTGGCAGGTCATAGCGCTTGCCGATAGCACTCCATGAAGTACACAAATCTGGGCCATGTTTTGCGCCTTGCACAATAGCCAAGGGCACGACTACCAAGGTGGTAAATCAGATGGGCCAAGGACAAATGCTATTTTCATTTGGCGAACCAAAAAACTCATCAATTTATTTTGTCCATCTCACGTTAGTCTTTTAGACGACACTTTTCCACGAATGTATTTTTACAGGCGCTACTGCTCACAACCAACCGATCTTAGTTCCATTCCCGCTAAGGCCGACATCAGTGGCAAGTGATATCTGACACTGGTCCCACCGTCACCAAATCCACACTGACCAGCGTGGTGAAGTATGGTAAAAAATATCCCCCCCCCCATGACCTGCACGGCATGGGGAGGGGGCCTCATTCAGCAGTGGGTTGACAAAGGGGGCTGTGCAGGTCTACATCGTTCTCCAAACGTTGGCTCCTGAACCCTTGGCTCGGCATAAACACAAACCAATACATTATGATCTATCAGTCTATTAAAACAAGGGATACTTTCTTTTCAGGATGCTCTATTTTTTTTTACTTGAGCTTTACCGTTAAACTTGAAGGTTTAATAGAGTTTATCTGCCCCCTTTTTAACACTGTGGCACACAATCTGAACCAAACCCTGCATCATACACACACAAGCAACTTAAACCAATTATATCATATCCTTTGGGTCTTTCGGTAAAGCCACGTAGATAGAAAAAGAATAATAAATAATAAAATATCACGAGGTTTCGATCGCAACACAAGCATTCGTCATCAGGTGAAAAATAGCGGGGGAGCTACTATGGCAGGAAAAAATGTTATAATTTATAATTATAATTTATAAAAAAAAATCCTGCCTCAGTAGCTCTCCCGCTATTTTTTCACCTGATGACGATTGCTTGTGTTGCGATCGAAACGTCATGATGTTTTTTTTCCTTTACTATTTTTCTATCTAGGTGGCTGCACCGAAAGACCCAAAGAATATGAATTTCTGCAGTCATGAAAGCTTTAAGTCAAGACCAATTCTATTCTTTATTTAACCAGACGAGAGCCATTGGCATTCATAAAACACAAACATTTATGAAAGCAACTCACAGCCCATAGCTACGTAGAGCCAGTTATGGTTTGTTCGCGACGCAGCAAAATTTCAAATTGGGTAGGTACATCACAATGAGCCCTATTGGCACAAAAACGGCCAATTCTTGATCATGGTCATAAAAACTAGAAGGTGCAATCACAAAATGATGTAAAAGATCTCTATGAAGATGAACAATAGTTGCAATGTCAGTTTAACACGTAGGCTTTCGCGACCAATATTATTCATAATCAACGTTTTTGGGTTTAGATCGTGTTATTTATAAATGTGTCGTAACCCTCCACCACCCGACACGGCCAATCAGTAAAAAAGTGTCACGTTGACAAAAGACAAATAGTTCAAATAGACAAATAGGGCTAAAGCAGTGAACTATTTGTCTTTTGTCAACGTGACACTTTTTTACTGATTGGCCGTGTCGGGTGGTGGAGGGTTACGACATATTTATAAATAACGCAATCTAAACCCAAAAACGTTGATTATGAATAGTTGCAATGTTATTGAAATTTACAGCTAAGATCTGCCGCTGCCCCTGTAATAGTAACTATCTTTGAAGTCTTGTTTAAACTAAAACGATAAAACGCTTTCTTTTGTTTCCAGGCAAGGCCCACTGAGCTGTAGCACTCTTTTTCAGACGCAACCTGGCAACAAATAATAGCTCATCATGTAGAAATTTATAGCAACCAAATACTTCAAACGCATGTTGATTCTAAATGTGGAGGGAAAAACCGGAGGACCTGGAGAAAAATCCACGCGACCACGGGGAGAGAGACACCGCAAACTCCAAATATACAGGCGTCAGGGTCGGGGATCGAACCCACGACCTCCTGTATGTCAGGCGAGGTAGTTAACATCTCGCCACCATGGCGCCCTGGTTGTAGCCTATGGATCTCATCAACCGAATCTTGTTTCACAAATGCAAACTCCAAATATACAGGCGTCAGGGTCGGGGATCGAACCCACGACCTCCTGTATGTCAGGCGAGGTAGTTAACATCTCGCCACCATGGCGCCCTGGTTGTAGCCTATGGATCTCATCAACCGAATCTTGTTTCACAAATGCAAACTCCAAATATACAGGCGTCAGCGTGGGGATGGAACCCACGACCTCCTGTATGTCAGGCGAGGTAGTTAACATCTCGCCACCATGGCGCCCTGGTTGTAGCCTATGGATCTCATCAACCGAATCTTGTTTCACAAATGCAAACTCCAAATATACAGGCGTCAGGGTGGGGATCGAACCCACGACCTCCTGTATATCAGGCGAGGTAGTTAACATCTCACCACCATGGCGCCCTGGTTGTAGCCTATGGATCTCATCAACCGAATCTTGTTTCACAAATGCAAACTCCAAATGTACAGGCGTCAGCGTGGGGATCGATCCCACGACCTCCTGTATGTCAGGCGAGGTAGTTAACATCCCGCCACCATGGCGCCCTGGTTGTAGCCTATGGATCTCATCAACCGAATCTTGTTTCACAAATGCAAACTCCAAATATACAGGCGTCAGGGTCGGGATCGAACTCACCGACCTCCTGTATATCAGGCGAGGTAGTTAACATCTCGCCACCATGGCGCCCTGGTTGTAGCCTATGGATCTCATCAACCGAATCTTGTTTCACAAATGCTTCTTTTAGATTTTCAGACCACACCCGACAGGATCGGACGCGTGGGCGGTGTGCTCAGACATCAGCAGCACACGAAGGATAACAAGTATAACCCGTAAAAACAAAGTTTTTCACTATAAATCCTTTATATGCGTGGCGGCTAGAGTCCTCTCGTCCTCTGGCTTGAGATGGCTGCCACCTATGGGTCAGATGATTGCATTGCACCATTAAGCAATTGGTAATTAAATATATTTTTGTCCTAAAAAGTGTAAAATTTTGAGAAAACATTTTCACGAACATTAATTGTCACGCACAACGAGTCTGTGTAAAAAATGTCAGCTCGATTGGATCACGCGAAGTGGGTTAAAAACGACCGAAAGATTTGCACGGTCGTAAGCGCGCAAGCGAACTTAATATAAAGGATTTAAAAAGGGGCCAGGGCCACAATGTTAACTACCTCGCCTGGTTTACAGCAGGTCGTGGGATCAATCCCGACCCTGACACCTGCTGTATATTTGAAGTTTGTGTGTTCTCCTCGTGGTCGCGTGGATTTTTCTCTGGGTCCTCCGAATTTCCCCTCCACATTCTAGAAACATGCGATTAAGAGTAATTGGCTACTATAAATTTCCACATTATGATACGCCACTTCGCTCAGTTATCATTTGTGATATCCAGGTCGCTTCTGAAAAAGAGCAATATAGCTATTGTTTATTGCTGTGGTTGGTCCCACCTGATGACGGGCGCTTGTGTTGCGCCCGAAACATCATTATTTTATTTATTTTATACCTACGTGACTTTACCAAAAGAACCAAAGAGTAGCAATATAGCTGTGGGGCCTTACCTGGAAAAGTCAAATTTTAGTTTTTTCTTAGTTTACAAAGGCTTTACATTCACGATAATTTTCTGCAACGAAGCCCCCAAAGTGTGAGTACGCGCGCACGCCATCGCGAGATGTGGGCAGCGATTCCATAGTTTCAGTGACCCACGGAGCGTAGAGTTTTCTCGGGTGTCTGGTTTCCACACTTCAGGAGCGCACGCATTCCTGCGCTTTTCCAATGCGCAACGCGGCTCTCGGACAATTAGTGGTGCCGTGTGCATCGAGCGCAAAACGACCGATG